TCAAGCGAAAGTTAAACAGGCCCAAAACATCACGTTAAGATGCTTAGTATTTTACACTTGAAGAATTGGAAACGGAGGATGAAAATATTTGTATAACAAATTTATTCAAATTTTTAGTAGTTATTCAAAAGCTAACCATCACTTATGTATAAACTCCATGCAGTTCATCAAAATATATTTCTTCAAATACTATTTTCCACCTATTGTAGTTTGAGCTCTTATTGTATTTATTTGTATCTTATTGTTGGAGTTTTTGATGACCTTTTGTTTTAGTTATAAAAAAGTTTCATACTTAAGAAACAATACTTCGATATCCTGGTTATCAAATGAACAAATCTCTAAATCCAGAAATCTTTAAAAACTTAAAAACAATTATTAGAAATATGTTTTCGGAAATTTTTTCCTTATACTTTCTTAAAGTTCCAGCATCCTTAAAAATGGATTTCATGAATAGCTTTTTTTAACAGTGCTATGACTTTAGAGGACTCTACACCCCCATGGCGGGCCACATCCTTTCCTCATGCTGGGCGTCTGTGACATTAACAATTGATAGACGACCGACGACGACAGGCGACAGGCGACAACAAGAACTGAACATTTCAACATTTGACAGATTGTCGCGCTCAGTTGGCAGCTTCTGAGGGCACTTTCCATTTCATTTCGCACTCACGCCGTCGCCCCCGGGGGCAACTCACTGGCCTCCTCGAGTGGCCCGGTTTTTTTCCCCCAAAACGCTATGCAACCCTTTTTTCTTTTTCTCTTCATTTTTTTTTTGGGGCAACTGTGAAAGGTGGAAGGTGGCAAAGCCTTCGAGTGGCCGGCTTAGCGGCTAGTTGGCATTTAACAGGCGGAGTCTTAAATATTTTAGTCCTACTTCTGGCCACTATTCAAGCCAAGAAGGGGGTTTCGTTAGAACCTACTTTGAGGTCAGTGAAGAAAGTTTCTTGAAAGGGTTTCGTGAGGTTTTTCTATAATCTAGAAATATTAGAATGAGTAGCTTCCAATAGGAATTATGTAAATGTTGCCTAAACAATAATTAAGTTTCATAAATTAAAATCAAATAGAGGGATATAACTCACCAATGGGTGAAAAACTCCAGCCAGGATCCAAACTTTGGATGTTTACCCACAGCAATTAATATCCCTTTTTGATCTCCTGAGCTTGAGTTAATATTGAGATGAATTTCGTGGCAAATTGATTTCTTCAACATCAAAGCGTCTTTATTTTTTAGGGGCCGTGCTCCTTTCAAGTCTTGTTTCTTTTCTTTTTATTCACTAATCGGCTGCAGGTCAAATTAATGTTTGTTTTTGGTATTAAAGCCAACACAAACACACACACGCACACACCCAGTTGAACAGGCTCACACGCGAAAGATCTGTTGGCAGGACTATGGCTGGATTTTTGCGACCGCGCTTTCAAGACGTCAATTTCGGAATGTAAATATTTGATTTATGCGCCAAAGCAAATTAAGGCAAAAACAAAAAACCCCAGCAGCAAAGTTGCCCCAGCGATGTCCTGGCGGAAAGTCACGGAAATATGGCGACGGCGAAACGGTAAATTTCATCAATAAGAGAGCGCGCGCGCCTGCTCCTCGTTGGTGTCGTCCTGCCTGATGTCCTGTCTCTCTTCAGCACACCCGCTTTGCCGACGGCAAAGTCCAATGCGGCAAAAGCAACAAAAATCACCCGACACACTCTCTCGCTCTGTTCGAAATGACGCTGAAATGCCGACTGCGGGAGAGGCGGAACATCATTATCATCTTTACATCCCGCTCGCACCGCATGCCATATAGGACTATTTGTATGGTATGAGATGGTGTGAGTGCTTGTGTGTGCCTGCGTCTGTGTGTGTGTGTGTGTGCTATTAACGCCATCATGCTCGTCATCTTTAGCGGGCCGACCGCCCGCTCTTTGCAGGATTTGGCAGCTGCTGACTGTCCTTTTACTAAGTTTTTGCCCCTACATAACCTCATGCGGCCCACCCCCTTATCATATCCTTGAGCCCCCTACACCCCTGATGGGTGTGTACATATTTGTACTGCAATTTGGCATCGTCGCTGGCTGCTCTGCCGCTGCTCTTGTGATTTGCCTCTTTTTGCGCTCCCATTTACACAGGTGAGTACAGTGATACCCCTATCGGATGATATGATCCTTTGGATTTAGGATAAATTATTGAATTTTAAAAGGACTTCCCGTAACCTATTCCCTTTAATTCATATTTTTAAAAATCTATTTAATATTTTAATGACGTAGCACACTGTTTATAATTTTCGCAGTAGTTTGTCTTTTTTTTTTTTGGGTGCCCCCTCAGGTTTTTCCCATTTTGCTATCCTGCTGGGACATTATCGAGTTCGGAGGGCAAAGCCAAAGCAAAAAAAAAACTTAAAATACCCATTGGAATCACATTTTTGTGCAATTTTCAAAGAGAGGTCCTGTGAAATCTGCTCCGCATCTGAATTTTCATTCGAATCCATGACAACCGAATATAAGCACACACACATGTGTGTGCGAAGGGTCTATTGTTTTGTTGTAACTGAGATCCTGCCACAAAGACCGAGCCGGAGGAAAACTGGGAAAAGGGGGCGAAGGGGCGGCGTCGATGGCAAAAGGTGAAACGATTGAGCACCCTGGGAGATTTTTTAATCAAATAATTACAGTAATTAGATGCAAGGCAAATGTCAAAAGAATGAATTTGAAATTCCCACACGTGAGGAGCCGTATAGAGAATTCGAAATTGCTGGGAGATCCCTAGTCCCGTTAGTTTGGGAACCAATCTGTAAGAGTCCTTAAACGAAAACAGGACCTTTTTTTAGAGAAATTTTACAATTAAAGACTGCTATTTTTTAAGTTTTTACTAGAGCTCTTCAAAGTTTTTGCTCAAATATCCTTAATATCTCAAAAATCTGTACCAAAAACCAGAAAAAACGTAATCCTTTTCATTTTATGTCCAACATCTGTAAACTTTTAAGATTCCTTGGCTAAAAGATTCCATTAAATAATGACAACTTTTTTAGAAGAATTTTCCACAAGGCGCCCAAGAAATCAACTTTTTGCATTTTCCACACCTCAAGTGTCTGCAAAAATGAAGAGGAGAGAGCTGGGAGGAGCAGGAGCAAGTCCTGGAGCCAAAGGATATGGAAGGAGAGGAGATATGGCATTCATTACAGCAATTGAAATGGACAAAAGCCAAATTCAAGGCAGGAAAAAAACGACAACTCTGCCAGCTAGCACAAGTTGAAAAAGGGATAATAAAATGTTTGCATATAAAATATTAAATAAAAGACGCAATGAAGGAGTCCAAGGTGGTTGGCAAGAGGGCTGAGGGGTGAAGAGTAGGATACCTTCTCTACATAGGACGCAACGAAATGAGCGAGCACACTGGAAGAATATTATTTTTACAAATATTTCTTATATTTAAAGTCTGAATTTTAGACTTAATCCAATCCTATTTAAGACTTTTTACTATACTTTTAAATTATACTTATTTTTGTTTTAAACTTTCCATTATTTGGCCCAGTGCATTGGCTCCACATGGCTGGCTTCGGCAACAACAAAATGACAGAGCCAACTGAACCTGGTGGGTTTCCAGGCAAAAGGCTCAACGGGTAAGTAAATAAAACCGTACCCGTAGCCGTAGCCGCATCTATGTAATGCCATCTGTGTGGGTGCTGATATGCAGCTAGAGCCAGGAATGGTGGGGATGTCACCCCATGGTGAGCGTAAGGAAGCACCTTCGGTGGGCGTATCAAATAGTGGGGGGCAGCGCATGCGTCGTACTGCTCTAGCATCCATCTTTGAATGGCCAATTGGTGGGCGTGTCCTCGGCTTGATTAGCCTCGACATTTTGTTACTGTTGCTCTCTCGTAGCGTAGCCCTGTCCCGTTCGTTCAAGCCATCGGACTCACTTTCTCTTCCACGGGAAATTCCATGGGAAATTCAACAGGCACCCGCATAAATGATACACTCCTAGTATCTCTCAAAAAGGCTCTATGCATCGGCATTTTTGTACCGAAATCAGAACTAAGTTTAAGCCCCGGCTTTTACTTTCGTTTTGGGGTTAATGCGAAATAAATTCTACGTAGCAATTAGCTCAAAACTCATTTCAGAAAAATCATCATCAGAAAATAATTTATCTGAATCGCGTCCACTCGAGAAATCAGGATATTGTAAAAGCGCACAGCATCCACGTTGATTAATTTCGCACCACTGCATTGCAATTGTAGATGTCTGTGTACGTGCATGTGTGTATGAGTCCTGAATGAGTGGCACACGCTTCTTACCTGTCAAATTTATATTTTTTTGTATTTTCCTTTTTTTATTTTTGGAGGGAGGAAGCAAGGTAACAAAAGGTATCTTCATGCCGATACCGCAAAAAGTTGCCGAAAATAAACCAAAATTTTCACTATTTATTTATGTGCTGTCGTCTGTTATGAATTAAGTGTTCTGCATGTGTGCCCTTTGTTGTTGGCCATCGCTTTGTCAGTCGCCAAAATTGACACAAAAAAACCAAGAAAATCAGGATCAAAGGTGAAAACTGTAAGGGGGCCTTTGAAAAATGAAATATAAGCAAAATAATAGAGCCCCGGGATTATTACTTTTTGCAGCTTAATAAAACAATGGTTTATGATCTTATTTTACAATAAAGAATTTATTAAAAGATACTAAAAAAATAGAACATCATATATTTCTTATTTTTAATATTCCGATTGTTTAAAAAACCATTGCAACATTGCAAGCATTACATTTTTTTTTTACAATTTTAGTGCTAAAATTCTAAAACTTCCATAAGCTACAGTTTTCTAATTCACAATTGAAACAAAAGCATACGAAATTTTGTCAAATTCGATTCTGTCCTCCTGATAATAATAAATAAAACATTTTTATTAAAAATCACATTTGAATTTAAAAAACCCGCGCTTACATATTTTTAAATATCGAAAGTAAGGTCACACTGGACCGACATTCACAATAGTTACTGTGCACATTTCGTCCCATCTCTAGAAAGACACGTAAAGCAACAAAACTACCCAACCTCTTTTTATGAATTAAAACTCAAGAAAAACAAAAATTTAATCACAATGGACGCAGGAACGTGGTATCGATCCCTGCCCCGCTTCACCCGCTATTGGATTACGGCCACCGTTGGCCTCAGCTTGTTATGCCGCTTCGATATCATCCCGCTGCACTGGCTCCATCTGGACCGATCTTTGGTCCTTGGAAAGTTTCAGCTTTGGCGCTGTATGACGTCACTGTTCGTGTTCCCCATCTCGCCGAACACAGCCTTCCACTTCTTGATCAACTGCTACTTCATCGTTCAGTACAGCTCCAAGCTGGAGAAGGACCAGTACAACCGGAGCCCGGCGGATTACCTGTACCTATTAATCATTGCCGCAGTGCTGGCCAATCTTGGTGGACTTCTCTTCAATGTTTATTTCCTGATGGACATGCTGGTGATGGCCATCACTTACATATGGTGCCAGCTTAACAAGGATGTGACCGTCACCTTTTGGTTCGGCACTCGGTTCAAGGCCATGTACCTACCCTGGGTGCTGGCTGGATTTGAATTCATCTTCAAGTTGTAAGTGCTAGATAGATTTATATCTAAATCAGACTTTTAATCACCTTTAACCTTCCACAGCTCCCTGACCTCATTGATGGGCATCTTCAATGGTCACATATATTACTTCTTTAAGTTCCAATACTCGCAGGATCTGGGCGGTACCGCGCTTTTGGAAACGCCACAGTTTTTGTAAGTATATCGAAAAGAACAAAATAGCAGTTCTCTTCTAATCTGGTCGTGTTTTCCAGAAAACGTCTTGTACCGGATGTCTCTGGCGGTTTCGGTGGCTTTGGAGTGCCACCAGAGAGCAGAGCACCACCGAGGCAGGCGGCCGACAACGCTTGGGGCAGGGGCGGCATGACCTTGGGTGGCAACTAAACTCGACTCTAATCCACCGCACTCAAGACTAATTCCCTTTTACACAATTTAGTTAACTTTTTTTGTAACAAAACTATCACTGGAAGGCATTTCTTTTAAAACCAAACCCCGGATTCTCAGGCAAAGGCAATATGTTAACACCTTGCATCGGCGGATTGTATTGTGCATTATTGAAATTATATTAATATATATGTTTGTACATATACACCTACAAAAAAAGACAAATGAAGGACGTTGTGTTTGTTTTTTTACATTTAAATTTATTTCGTTTAAAAGGTCTATGCTAAAAAAATTGTACAGCGACACGCATTGTTCAACAATAGTTTTTTTTGTTTGAAATTGTATGTTTATTTATCCGCGCAGGAGGGAAAGGGGGATGCTCAGATCTCTTCTGATTCTGGGTTTTTTCTCTAAAAGTTACAACATTCCTCTTTAGATCGGGATTTACAAAATCGACGCATAAAATACTTAACATCTACAAATCGGTATATGCTTATCATCTGGGTGTGAGTTTTCTTTTTTTTTCCTTTAAACATGGTGAGTGGTGTAAGTGGTGTTTGGTGGCTCTTATGCGAACTAGATGTCTATACATATGTATATATTACTTGCTTTTGTAATTCGAAATTCATCTGATATTTACACATTTCGTGGAGGGGGTCAACTAGGGTCTATAATCTCATACGATTAAGAAATCTTTCAAGTTTTTAAACATTTAAACAATTTTCCTTTTTTTTTTGTTTTTAAATTTGAAGTTTTTTAATAATTTTCTTGGGCTTTAAACTTAAATCAATTAAACTAGATCGAAATTAGGGGATGGGGGTGGGGCGTGTTGTGGGCTCTATTTACAAGCTATACAAAATAAAGGATAGTCTGCAGAAGGGAGATCCCTATTTACAGGAGAGACTAAGGTGCTTCCAGGATTAATGAAATAATAATGAAACTAAAAACTAACACAATTTCCAGGTTATACGACATTAGATGTTTAGAACAGTGGCTCTGCGTTTTGGCAACTTAACAATACGTTCATTTTTAAACTGAGGCTCCACAAACTAGCACAGAGAATTGATTTTACGATAATCTTGCACTTTGCTCCAAGGCTAGGTCTATACTAAATAAAATAAAATGATAATGGTAACCGGGGATGATGGAGAACTCTCGACATTGAAGCTAAACTACTAACTAAACCTATTCCGAACCGGGTCTGCTGTGTGCGTTCTCTCACTCGATTTTCTCGAAATGGGGAATCTTTAAGGTAATATAACTAGCGGGTGATTTACAGAGCGGCAGCTCCAGCACCGAGCGGCTGCTCTAGTGGCTGTTTCTTCTGCGGCGAGGCCGACGCTGAGACAATGGCCGCCTTTAGCGAGGTGGTGGTCTCCGGGGATATGTTACTGGTGCTCTCGATCTCGATAGGCTGCTCCAGGTCCATGTCCACATATTCTATGGTACTATCATCCTCTGGATTCAGTTCGATAACTTGAAACGAGTATAGCTGTTTAGTAGGGAAACTTAGTGATAGGGTGCTTCTACAACTTACTGCTATTGTTGTGGTCCGAGGAGGATGTGTGGTCAATGGGATGGTCCGTATCTATTCTGTCCTCGAGCTCCTCCTCTTCGTCTTCTTCCACTATGACGTCTTCTAGTTTCTGCTTCGACGAAGTGTTGGCAGTTTTGGTGGCCGCCTGATCCAACTCCATCTCCCAATCGGTGGCATTGAACACCACCACAGGGGTATTCTTCGAGGGTCCCTGCTTGACCACCTCCGAGCTGGTGCCATTGTCCGCCACAATTATTGGCATGTTGATAATATCGATGGGAGTGTCCTCGGTAATCAACTGGTTGGCTTTGGGCTTGCTGGCACCTGCCGCAGGATTGGGAGACGTGGCACTGCCTGCTGAGGAAGTGGACGTGGTGGCTCCTATTACAACCACATTCGGCTTGGGCTTTCCCGTCGCCAGGGTGACCGCACGCATTCCGCTCGCGGCACTAGCCGGCAGGAAGACCAAGTTGTTCTTGCCACCGCCAGCAGTGGCAAAGGTGAGTGTGGTGGGTTTGCCGCTCAAGCTTGGCTGCTTCACACTCGTACTCAAGCCGGTAATGGTAGTAGCTGTTGGGCTTCCGCCTGCTCCTGCTCCACCTGCTGCTGCAGCACTCCCACTACCGCCAGCCGGAAGTATCTGCATCTTCTGGATACTGATTCTCTGTTCCCTCGCCGGATTTGGCGAGATGGCTGAGGAGGTGGTGCTACTGGTGGACACTGCTGTGGCCGCTACCGCTCCTGGGGCACTTCCTGCATTGTTGAGCTTGTGTATAATGCTCCCAGCTGGAAGTTTGCCCGGAAGGAACAACTTTCCGTTCGGTGAGCAAATCTTGAAATTGCGGAGGGCGCTGCTGGGCACCTGTTTAATGGTAGCCGATCCACCGGTGGAGGTGGTTAGCTTGATGTTGCCCAAAATTTGTGGAGCCACCGATGGAACTGTTGTTCCACTGGTAGTGGTTGCTCCCGTAGCCACTCCGCTCGACACTGTGGACGTACTGCTCGCTGCACTCACTGACTTTATCTGCGGGGTGGTCACCTTAGCCCTGAAGAGATTCCCTGGCATACTGGTTGCTCCTGCCGGCAGAGGAGTAATCAGCGTGTTATTCAAGCTACTCGCTGGTATATTTTTGATTATGTTCACTGTGGAGGCGCTGCTCAACGGGGTCACCCTGGAGTCCTTTAGCGGGGACAAGGGGCTTCCTATGGGTTCCGTGTAGGGCAGTAGACGCACCGCAGGACTGGGCAAAGTCTTAGTTTTGGGGTCGCCTTCACGTAGATTGATTTTCTTGGGAGTGAGCTTTGTACCCGGTGGCAAGATGGAGCTGTTGGAACTCGTAGGAGATGCAACCGCTGGTCGCAACTTAGCGCCCATCGGCGGCGCCGGAATCTGCTGGACACTGATGATCTGGGGAGTCAGGGGAAGAGTTGCGGTGGAAATGGGTCTGGAAGTGCTTGGCGCAGAAGGTGACAAGTCCGGCTGCCTCTCTTCCACAATGTACTTGTTCACTGGAGTGCTCTGGCTTTGGGCTTGAAGCAGCACCGGCGAGGCCTGCAACTTATCCTTAAAAACAATCGGCGAGCTGGCAAAACCCCGCGAGCTTGGCGTGGTGGGTGAACCGATTTCACCGGCACCCGACCCACTTTGCGGACCATAGACCAGTGGTTTCAACGGCTTCAATGGTTTCAAAGTCACCAACGGCCTCTGCTCATTGACCAAGGTGTAGGGGGGAGTGGCTGTGGATGAGGGCGTGGGCGTAGGTGTGGGGGTGGGGGATGAGCTGGCTGCCAATGTTTTTAGCGCCTCGTCGAGAACATATTCTACATGCGGTTGCACCACCATATGATTGGGCACTGCCTCCGGGGATTGCAATAATACTTTCGGTTGCTGCTGCTGATGCTGCTGCGGCTGCTGGAGGTGGTGGTGCTGCTGCTGATGCAACTTCTGTTGCTGTTGGAGTTGCTTCTGGGCCCGCCTTCCGCTTTTGGCAGGGGCAGCTATCCTCTTACCACTGGCTACAGCATCTCCACCGGCCGATGAAATGTGGCGACCGCCGTGAGCATTCCCCGTATGCGGGGAGGCACCCAAGCTGTTGGCCAAATTCCTTTTGCTGGCCAGGCGTTGCTTGTGCTTCATCTGCTGCTGATAGAAGAACCGCTGCTGAACGGTGCGTGGACTGGGCCGCTGCTCCTGTGGCGCAGGTTCACCCTCTTCGGCGGCAGAGTTTCCGGATGGCGATTGCGCCGTCGGCTGCGCCTGCTGCTGGGGAATCAGGGGATTTGGGTTCTGTGGCTGCTGCTGCATGTGGCGTCGCTTGGTTGGCTTTCCATCTCCTCCGCTTTCGGACTCCTTGCGCTTCTGTGTCATCTTTTTCACCTCGTTGGGCACATCGGGCACCTTGAACTGAAGGCATTTTAAAAAGATTAAAGATTTTAAGATTTAAAGATTTAAAAATCTATTTAAAATTCAAAAAGTTTATAATTTTGACCCGTTATCGATAACAGTTTCCCTCCGGACAGTTAACAGTCACTTAACAGACCCTACCAGAGTACTGTTAAAGGCAGTTAAAATCAAAAAACTAATTGGATGGATTAAAAAATTAACAAGCAGCTTTCTAAATCTTAAGAATAGCAAAAACACTTATCCATTTGGTATAAATAAAACTGTTTATATAATATAGCTACATACTATATGAACTATGGTTCAACTTTGTGGTTTTCCCGCCTTAATTTTCCACTTGGATCTCAAAATTCCAATTAGAATATATTTAGTATGAAACTCCTCGCCAATTGATTAATAGTCCTCTCAAATCTCTACACCTCTGAAAAAATCTCTTGGTATATAGCCCCAATTTGACCTTGTTTGTAAGCCGCCCACTACTTTTCATCAAGAGAGGTACAGTCTGCACCTTCATGCCGAATGGGGAAAAGTGGCACTAGGGGATTATATAACAATTGGACTACTCACTGGCTCCTCCATGATCACCGTGGGCTGATCCTGACTCCTGATGCTCCTGCTGTGCTTTAGGCTTACGTACGAGGCCTGCTCCATAAGGGCTTCTCCGAAGTGGATTCCCGTTTCGGCGGGCGCCGCCAATTTGGCATTCTCTGCACAAACCTTGGCCGCCAGGTCGTTGGCAACTATGGTGAGTGCTGTCTGCGGACTGATCCTCGGAAGCAGCGGATACGGCCGTCGGCCCTCCCGCGACCACTCCTGCCAGGTGTTTGGGCCACCAACACTGCAATGGATACACACACACACACCGATGGGTTAGTACATTGTGGAGAAACCTATCAAAATAATGGATCTAACTTTTCGGCTATCGTGCAGAGCTGTTCGTCGTTGGCCGCCCTCCTGACCTCCGCCCGATGACGCTCCTGGGTGATGTGGAACAGCTGCCGAAGCTCCTCGAGCAGTTTTGCCTTGGGCTCATTGAGGGCTCCTTGAGCGCGAAAAACGCTTATTATATGCGAATAGGATTCGAGTTCTGAGGAATAAACATAAACGAAAAGATGGAACAGGTCACAAGGGAGATTTGTAGTTGGATATCCAGCGATTCTGTCGTGGATTAGAGGCTTCCGAATCCTCACCAAGTCGACGCAACATGCCTCGGCACTCGTCCCGCGACATTTCCAGCGTTTGGGGCCACATCTCTCCCGTGCGTAATATCCGCCGTATCCCTTCCTATTTTCCGTTCCCGTATCCTTGGCCAATCCGTGGGCTATCCGTTCCGATTGCGTTCGCTTCGGCCAACGCAAAATTCAATCGCGAATCTTGGCTGTGTGCAGAAATTAAAACAAACTCCGAGGGCAGCGTTTCTAATATCTGTGCAAGAAGAAGCAGCCATCGACCGCGTCGTTCTTCAACACTGGTACGCTTAAGAACACTGGCACCATTGATGACAGTGACTGGAAAGGGTGACTTTAATGGTCACATGATTCGATTTTATTTCCGTATTTTGTTTTTAGTCCAGTTTAATTTATGTATTTTTTTTAGTATGCGTATATTTTTTTTATATTCCCACCGCATTTTGAAAATTTTAATACTTTATTAAGATTTTGTCTTTTTTTAGTTTTAGTAAATATATGAAACAATATTGAGTAACAGTATTGAAAAGTAAATCTTTTTAACCAATGCTGCATTAGTTTTATAATTTTACCGTTTATTTACAGCTGTAGCTGGATATAATCAAAATATTATATTTTCAGATGAATTAAAACTTTCACCTTATCAGTGATTGCGTCACAAAAAAAAAACCATAAACCTGCACTATAAATATTTATTTTTTTTAAAAATTTATCAAATAACAGCCATAGAAAATAATTAAATATACTTTATGTAATAAAATAATAAACTTTATTTAAAAATAAAATAAAATCTTAATTTTATTTCAATCGTATACAATCAGGTTTAATTGAACAATTTTCAGGTAACTGGGTCATGTTGCAACTAAGGAAATATTAATTTTTATAAAAAGTAGAATCACAACTTTTGGATATTTTTAGTAGATAATCACAGTTCCCGCTTCTCCAATTCCCTGTATGGCATTGTTGGACTATGGGTAATAGTTGATATAATTAATAAAAATACTACAAAATGTTTAGAACTACAGACCTTTTTAAACCAAAATGAGGACATAAAACTTATCCTATGTCCCAAACTCATATCTGACGATGGATAGATAGCATGGAGGTGGAGGTGTTTCACCGAGATGAAGGGCGGAATATGGAATCCAATTATCGCCTTTTCTGGATCGACCTTTTTCGATCTGAGAAAATCCATCATGCCTGATTCCATTCTTCGGACTGTGGATATACAGATTGCCAGATTAACACAAAATACATTGAAGTGAAACGTGGCTTATCTTACCAAGTCCAACATGCGATCTATTCAAAACACTGAAGCTATCAAGGTGCTCCTTAGGTATGGCCAAGTAGTGATATTTGGCCACCGGATACTTGTCCTTAAATATAACGAACTCATCGGTTTCTACCTCTAGAATTGGGGGAGGTCCTTGTCTATGGTTAGCAAAGTCACAGAAGAAACAGTCTTGAGCTCCAGATGAAGTCGACTTCACGCTGCCGGTCTTGTATACCGTCAAAAGAACAAGAAGTCCGAGTCCGGAGAGACATGCCACATATATTTTCTTCCTTTTTAACATGCTTTCAAGCAGAAAATACATCAGAAATTTAAGTTTATTTCAATGTTTACTTGGTCCGGAGACTGGACTGATATTGCAATGTTATTCCATTGCTGGCAATGTTTATTATGCGATATATCTCCAAGTTGGAAAGTTGGATACATAATCGTAAGATCGCCATTCAAAGGTTGAGCGTTCATGGCGGGAAAATTCAAACTTTAAGTAACAAGAAGAATAAGAAGAAAAAAAACATAAAACTCTAAAGCGTATTCCACTCAAGAATCTGATAAGTATTGCCAAAAAATGGCGTTCCTTGTGAGTCATAGTGTCCTCCCATGCATTTTCAACATTTTCGAAGGGGACCCTCCAGAAAATTTGACAAAAAATCGAAAAAATATTTTGTGTGTAGATTTTGATGCAGAATGATGGAGAATCGGTGTAAAAATTGTTTAAGGTATTCCGCTTAAGAATCTGATGAATATTTCCAAAGATATGGCGTTCCTTGTGGGTCATAGTGTCCTCCCATGCATTTTCAACATTTTGAAGGGGACCCTCCAGAAAATTTGACAAAAAATCTAAAAAATATTTTGTGTCTAGATTTTGATGCAGATTTTAAGAGAATCGATCCACAAATCGTTTAGAGTATTCCGCTTAAGAATCAGATGACTATTGGCAAAGATATGGCTATCGCTGGGGGCCATATTGTGCCTCCATGCACTTTTTCCATTTTTGAAGGGGATCCTCCAGGAAATTTGACAAAAAATCTAAAAAATATTTTGTGTCTGGATTTTGATGCAGAATGATGGGGAATCGATGTACAAATCGAAAATCGTGTCTAGATTTTGATGCAGATTTAAAGAGAATCGATCCACAAATCGTTTAGAGTATTCCGCTTAAGAATCGGATGACTATTGACAAAGATATGGCGATTCTTGTGAGTCTTAGTGTCCTCCCATGCATTTTAAACAATTTCGAAGGGGACCCTTCAGAAAATTCGAAAAAAAATCTAAAAAATATTTTGTGCCTATATTTTGATGCAGAATCATGAAGGATGAATGTTTAAGGTATTCCTCTTAAGAATCTGATGATAATTGAAAAAGATATGGCAAGGGCTGTGGACCCTATGATGTTTCTGATGATGTTTCCATGTTTTAATGCAGATATATGGCGAATCAAAATTCAAATCGTTTAGGGTATTCCACTCAAGAATCGGTTAAGAATTGACAATGTTATGACTGTGGAACATACATAAATTTAACATTTTTTAAAATTGGGGAAAAAAATAGTTTGTAAAATGTAAATCTCTCTATAAATTTAATACAATTTTTAAAATTGATTCATGGGATGCGATAGTTGCCCTTTCCGGCAACAACCTGGTCACACTGACAAAAGTAAACGATGGGTGGCAGATTCGGGGTCTGAAATGAGTTTTCCGGATATAAGACAGCCCAAAATTAAAGGAAATGTTGTTCCGCTCTGCGAAAAGCAAGTTCGAAACGGTGGACGCAGTGCGTCGCCTCAAGCGCCTGGCGGAGGGCACCCTCTCCTCCTACCGACGCCTGTTTCTCCTGCTCCTCTGCATCTGTGTGGTGTTCTATCTGCTGCCGCCGATCTTTCGCTACATCTTCCTGTCCAGCTATACCGAAACGAAGGGTGAGTGGTTGGGTCTCCTGAAATCCCTATTTGGTAGTTATATGTTCCTTTGCGCTTCCATCACAGATCCGCACAGTGTGTGCATGGATGACCGCCTGACGCCCTTCATTCTCCAGAACTATGAGTTTGATGCCAACATTCGTCACGTGTCGCCATCTGTGCTGCCCGGCGAGAGAGATTTCACACCCTATGTGGGCAATGGCTATCTGGGTCTAGAGATAGCCCACGATGCCTTCCTGAACATCAAGCACGGTCGAGCCATGCAGCTGCCCATTCGCTTCCAGCCGGTGGTTTCTGTTCAGGCCGCCGGCGAAAAGGAGGCCACAGTAGTAGAGTACCTGACGGGTATGGTGCACCGGTTTCAATGCCTAGCTGGCTACTTTGTTTCCTACACCTATTACGCCCATCGTACCCAGCCAAACATACTAATGCAAGAGCTGCAGATTACCAATACAAGGAATATAGTGGAGGAGATAGAGCTGGTAATGCCCAGGGTTAATCTTCCGAAGCTTACCAGACGCATAGTGACTCTGAGGTAACTATATTTTTTGGAATTGTAAGTCCTAATGATGTATGATGTATTTCCTCCTCGATCAGCGAACCTGTTTCAGTTGGAATGTTCACCTACAGCGATCTGGAGGTACTCACGGGTACAGCACAACCCCAACCTGAAGATCCCAGTAAATCTATTGTGATTAGTATTGTAAAGCCGCAGCTGGAATCGAAACTGCAACTGAGGAAACGGGGAACAGTGCGCATTGTATATCCTATAGCAGTCCAGTACTCCAAACCAGTGACGGAGAATCAGGTCAAGGGAATTTCGGAGGCCACCGAGCAACAGGCAACGCAGGCAATGACAAAACTCCTCCAAAAGCTTGGATCCAAAGCTACCAATACCTTGAACAGTATAAACACGTATCGGCAGGAGCACATTGATGTATGGACGGATCTGTGGGCCACTGGTTTCACGATAAGTACATCCAAGGCGGAGAACAGTTTGAATGGCGATAGAATTAATGCCACCATGTACGCTGTTTTGTCGCAAGTGCGTAGCTTTGAGTTCGAGGAGATCGGTGGCAACAAGAGAGAGGACATCGCAAAAGCCCTGACCTACGCCGAGGGTTGCTACGATTCCTATCACACACTGCAGGCGGAGAATCTATGGCGGGATATGTCCGATCTGCAGCAGCTGAATTCCTTAGTTTCTTCATGGATGTTAACTCTCGAAAAACAGGGCTGTCACAATCTGATCCGAGCCGGTGCCTCCGGAGTGATTCAAGCCATGGTACTTAGCTTTGGTAGCTTTCGCTTTAGCAATCAGCACTTGGAGTGCAACATACATCCCAAGTTCCTGCACAGGGATTTCCATTTCCGACGCCTTAACTATGGCAACAAAACGCACCTTAACGTCACCATCATTGTGAAGGATGACAACAAAGCGGTGATAAATGTGGCATTGGATCGCTCCGATAGAAGCTATTACGCCTGCGATGGTGGATGCCTTGACGAGCCTATTCTTCTCACGTATTTATACTAGTTCTTTCATTGTGCTTTACATATTTTTATAGGAAATCGTTTTCAGACAAAACCGCCGACAATTCCCAGTTAAACTGACTGAACCTCTAACAGCAATATTATACATAACTGAGGACAAGCAGCACATGGAAGAGCTGCACCATGCCATCCATGTCAAGGAGGTGGTTGAAGGTGAGGTTTATCATCTCTTCAATCTCGACATTGTTTTTATTTTTTGATTTTTTCGCTGCAGCTCCTGCCCATGAGCAGCATCTAATAGCTCTCCATCGGCATGGCCACCAATTGGGCGGCCTGCCTACCCTGTTCTGGGTGTCTGTGTGTGCAATAATCATAGTATTCCACATATTCCTCTGCAAGCTCATCATCAAGGAGTACTGCGAGCCGAGCGATAAGTTAAGATATCGTTATAACAAACCGTGATCATAGTTGTATATAAAACCTGGATGCTAGTAAAATATAATATGAATAACGAATTGGGGTGAATTTTTAACAATGCTTCGAAAGAGAAAACGCATTTGTGTTATCTAATATTTAAAATGCTTTACTTCCAAAGGGCAGACATTTTAGCTTATATACAGAGATATTTATAGAGAGTGTGCCAAATGCAATTAGTTTAACTAGAGTTCTCCAATTTTATAGTGCTATTAAAATTCGTACAGGTGCCGACAAGTAGCTACTGTCAAAACTTCATCTCTACATCGATCTCCACCACGGTTATTTCACTTTACTTTGTAACATTATGAATGCTTTCAGCCAGGTAGTCGATATTCTTGCTGGTAACGCCAGCCATCGAGATACGACCATCCTGGGTCAGGTAGATACTGTGTTCCTTAATCAGTTTGTTGACCTGCTCCGGCTTCAGTCCTGTGAAACAGAACATGCCAATCTGATTGACGATGTGATCCCAGTTGTGGGACGATCCAAGTTTTTGGAGGTTCTCCCTCAACTGGCAACGCACGCTGATGATGCGGTCGGCCATCAGTTTAACGTCCTTCAGCCACTGAGCGCGCAAGTCGTCAGTGTTCAAAATTTCGGCGGCCACACGGGCTCCGTGCACCGGGGGGTTGGAGTACAGACCACGGATCAGGATCTTGACCTGGGACAATACACGAGCAGCCTCCTCTTCGTCGGTGCACATAACAGTGAACGCTCCGGCCCGCTCACCGTAGAGACCCATGTTCTTGGCAAAACTCTGGGCGAGAATGAAGTCTTTGCAATCGGCTTCGATAATGCGAACCGCCTGGGCATCGCGATCAAGGTCGCCGGTGGCAAATCCTTGGTATGCCATGTCGATGAATGGGTACAGTTTTTGCTTCTTTATCACCGACGAGATTTCCTTCCACTGTTCCGGAGAAGGATCCACTCCGGTGGGGTTGTGGGCGCAGGCATGCAAAAGGACAATACTCTTCTCGGGAATTTTCTACAAGTATGTATTGAATATTAGATTAATCTATTAATGATTGGGGCGGGGTAACATACCTTCAGATCTTCGATCATTCCATTGAAGTCCAAATCGCAGCTGGCGGCGTTGTAGTAGCGGTAACGTTTCACGGGCAGGCCAGCATGTTCGAAAATGGCTACATGGTTACCCCAAGAAGGGCTCGGGATGTAGATTTCGCGGTTTCCCTTCCACCATTTGGCCAAGAAGGCGGCTCCGATGCGGAGGGCTCCAGTGCCACTGATCGACTGGGCGGTGACATTGTGCTTGGCTGCCAAACGTTTGGAATCCTAACCAAAAAATTATATTTTATATTATATTATCTGTATAAAAAATAGAATTTTACCTTGCCCAAAGCTAGCTCAATAGCCTTGTTATAAAAATCCGGAATGCCAATGATGGTGGCGTACTCCTTGTCCAGGCTGCGAGCAATCACACGCTTCTCCGCCTAAAGAGTTTTATTTCGTTAATTACTATAATTATTAGTTATTTAAATTCCAACTTACTTCTTTGACACTGGGAAGAACAAAGGGCTTGGTGTTGTCATCGCGATAGGCGCCAACACCCAAGTTGACTTTCTTGGGGTTTGGGTCCTTCTTGAAGGCCTCAGTTACACCCAAAATGGCGTCAGGAGGACCCATTTTCGTTTCGGCGAACCATGATGAGCTAAAACAAAAGGAATTAGTTATATGGTTTATTAAAAATAAGTGTAGATTTTCAATTTTATTATATAACCAGTTCCTAACAATAATTTACAACTGATTAATTTTAAAGCTTCTTATCTTGTTGAAATAGATAAAACATAGATATCTGTCTATAGTTCTGTTATCTGTGTCTTACAAACTTGTGGCATTTTTTTTTTAAATAGGGTTAAGGTTTCACCTCAACCTTGTACCCCCAACTAGGACGTATACTTTCCTTATCTGGTTTAAATTTAATTGGTAGATTAGCAAAATTTTAGTGGGTTATCTCACCCACGTCTACCACTTGTGGGCTATCGTTTATCATTTCGGTTTCATGACTAAAGTTTGAAAGTCACCTAGAGGATTTCTTGGATTTTGCACCCCCCACAAAATTTTGGTTCACATCAGTTTGTTCTCTGCCTCTCCCTTATCAGCTGTAAACATGTTATTATGGGAACTCTGTTCACCATTTACACCTAGTATAGATTTAATAATTCCTACGTCAGTGATAAGGTCGATGATTGTTCGCCCCTGCTGACGTAGTCGGCCTCCTCGGTCTTGGTCTCATTATATGGAGCAGTCGTAAAATTTTGGAAGCAATCCAACTTAATTAAACTCTTTCAATTAGGCGCCACCTGTCTTTGAATCTGATTTTTTGATTACCAAAAAGAGGAACTTCCTGTGTCGCCTGCAGTTCGATAAAACAAACCAAACTCAAGAAGTATTTCCATAAAATATCAAAGCACGCGACAAAAGCGTGATACGCTTTGGTGTCACCTACCTTCTTTTGCTTTGGCTTATATGATTTGAATGGTCGTTGATCCGGAAGCTAAAATCCCTCAAAGGATATCTTAATAATTGGTTCATTGTTAAAATTTAAAATACCTGCCAGAATATTTTTTTTTGCTTTTCGATTTTGATTTTTTGTGAAAGAATAAAAATATTGCCTACTGATTTTTAACAAATTATATTTCTTTAATGCTTATACAACAAAGAAAAAAAAATTTTAATATTTTTAAGTACCGCATCGAGTATTCGTTATCTCACAACTTTTTGATTCATGTGGCTTCTGAATGTTCTTTCAAGCAGAAGAAAAATGGCAAAAAATAGCCCCCCAACAATGGACCCTCTCTCATGGAACGTCATGAAATTGGCTTTAAAAATAAATATGTACCTAATTGATGGCTGAAATTAGTCTATATATAAAGTGCAAAAAAGACCTCAAACTAGTGCAAATATTAGCTAGCTAAACCATAGAGAAAAAAACTAGAAAAAATCGCAGTTATTTTCTCACTTTTCCCATCAAGTAATTTATGAAATTTAAGCCCCACAGACCTTATGTCAGCGAATAAAAATACGAGACGCTCAGCAAACTTGCAATGACAAAAAAATTATGCAGTAATGGAGAAAATAAACACAAACATGTGCAATTAGACCGGCAACTGCAATGACCTTGACGAACGACCCTGCTGCATCTGCAACGTGTTCATGGGGGTAACAACAAAAACAACAACCACACTCGAATTTAGAAGCGACTTCCTGCCTCCCCTCTCTTTTCCTGTGTACTTACTTGGCGCGAATCGCGGCGGGGGCGAAACGGTTGCTCAGCAACAAACCGCGCTGACAAATCTGAGACATTTTTAAATGCACAAAGAAGTTGTACTATACTTTTAAAACTAAAAATTAGTAATTGCAAGAAGTGCCAATCCGATCGCCTCTGGCCTCTGGGAAATAATAATACCAAGATTCGCAAAATGTGGCAGTGGGTGTCGAAAAAGCTTTAAGCTTATTTCCGATAAATAACGATATCTATCGATTTTTCCCGCCAAGCAAAAGTCTATATTCAAAACTTTAAACTTCAACTTTTACATAGTTTTTTAGCACTTTACACTAGTCGGCATAAATATTTTGACGAACCCTACTTTTGACTATCAGACTTTGCTATCCTTAATACCGTTAAATAGAGGTGCCAAAATGAGGCGCAAAGCAAAGAATCTATTTTTAGCTTTGTGCATGCCAAATTTTATTTCGTTTACCTTTTGCATTCTATTTCTACTGATAAGAATGCATGCAGACAATGGCTTTTTGCATGGCATAAGTATTTTGACAGCATCGTTATGGAAATATTTTCTCACATTTAAGCACGCGACAATTAAAGAACTTCTGTGTTTAACTTTGAGCAATATTAAACGTTGTTATTTAAATAAAAAGTTATTAAGAATTATTAAATAACATGGGTAAAACTGCTGAACTAAGTTTGGTTACCAGATCCTTAATGGTAGCAAAGTTTAACGCTGGAATAGCAGTCAAAGACATTGCCGATGAGTTTAAGGTGTCGCGCCAAACTGTGCACTACCAAATTAAAAAATGTAAAAAGCATAATGACCTGCGTAATTTAAGAAGATCAGGTCCAAAGCGCAAATCAGATCTTAGTGAAGACCGAGTTCTTGTACGGGAATTTAAAAAAAATATTTTTCTAAAGCCCCAATCCGCAGCAGATCAATTTAATTTGACAGCTAAAACACCAATTAGTGAGCGCACAGTCCGTCGACGTTTAAAAGAAAGTGATTTCAAGACTTATAAAGTCAAGGAAGTACCATACATAACAAAAGCAAACAAGCTCAAAAGACTGGCTTTCGCAAAGGAATATGTCCAAAAGCCAAAGGAGTTCTGGAGGAGCGTTCTATGGACAGATGAAAGCTCCTTTGAGTATAACTCATCAAAAAATAAGTTTGTTGTAAGATTACCAATGGAACAAAGGCAGAAAAGGCGGCCCGTTTGCCAAAAAGTAAGCCATGGTGGAGGCTGTGTGATGTTCTGGGGATGTGTTGCGTATAATGGACTGGGTGACTTCGTTCCTGTCACTGGCTCGATGAACCAAGGCCAATATTTACGGATTCTAAATGATAACGCATTTACTTCTGGAGACAGGCTTATTGGTCAATCCTTCATTCTGCAACAGGATAACGCCCCATGCCACAAAGCCAAGATGATTACATCATATTTGAAGGATGTTGGTGTTACCACTTTGGACTGGCCACCTCAAAGTCCAGATTTAAATATAATTGAAAACGTCTGGTCTCTTATTAAACGTAAAAGAACAGTATCGTTGAATAAAACCAGAGAGGAGACAATTTTTGAGGTCAGTTCCCTTTGGGAACAGATATCTCCAGAGATCATCCAAAATTTAATCGATTCAGTACCGGGACGCCTGGAAAAAGTTATTAAAATTAAAGGAAATTATATATTTTACTAAATTCCTATTTTTTCCTTAGTTTTTTTGAGTTTAAACTTTGTTACTCACATTAAAAGGTACTTGTCAAAATACTTATGCCACGACATAAAAATTACTTTAGCTTATATTTTTGCAAGTTCATATGACAAAATGTTGAATTCATTATTTTAAAGTTTATATTAGCACTAAGTAATACAGAAAAAAAAATCATTGAGTTATATTAAACCATTGCAAAGTTACATACAAACTAGAACCATTTGTTTTTCGTCAAAATAATTATGCCGAATAGTGTAGAACTCGAAAACATTTTTTTTGGGAAATAAAATTGAACTTCTTGTAGTATGTGTTGTAAAACGACTCTGTAAATTGAAAAAAGTGTTGCAAAAGAAATTTAAGCAAGCTTACAAGTTTTTCAAATTAAACAAGTCAACAAAAATGATAACAAAATTCTTGATTTATATATTTGAGGGTCTAATTTTGAGCTTAGATTTCTACAAAAATTCAATTTTAATTTACAATTAAACAATTTTTAAACATCTAAAAAGAACTACCCTTTAAAACTACCCTGTTCAACCCTGTCATTAAACCTATAAATTTTACAGTGTAAAATTTTCCCCCATAAACCTTAAATTATAAATAGACACATATAAAAAAAATAAGTAGCCAGCCCTGGAGAAAGCTCTAGTTTCTTAGCTGACGCGCGCAGCTGTTTGATAATCGAAGAAACTTTGGCCTCCCGCTTTCTTTCAGCAGATTCAGTAGATTCTTAGTCGTCGTTGTGGCTGAATAATCAGAACATAAACCCAAGCCCAGCCGAGTCGATTAGCTATCCGTTAGCTACCTTGTAATTCAATTAACTGGAGGAAAAAATGCTGAGATTCGCGGTAATTGCCTGTGCGGTGCTGGTGGCTTTCGTCAGCGGTTTGGAGTTCAGCGATTGTGGATCCAAGACGGGAAAATTCACCAGGGTAGCCATCGAGGGATGCGACACCACCAAGGCCGAGTGCATCCTCAAGAGAAATACCACCGTTAGTTTCTCGATCGATTTTGCTTTGGCGGAGGAGGCCACATCCGTGAAGACGGTGGTGCACGGCAAGGTCCTGGGGATCGAGATGCCATTCCCTCTGGCCAATCCCAATGCCTGTTTGGACAGTGGCCTCAAGTGCCCGCTGGAGAAGGGCGAGTCCTACCGCTACACGGCCACTCTGCCGGTCCTCAAGTCCTATCCGAAGGTTTCGGTGCTGGTCAAATGGGAGCTACAGGATCAGGATAATGCGGACATTATCTGCGTGGAGATTCCCGCCAAGATTCAGTAGGGAACTTACTGAACCCTCCTTTTAATTTAACCTCGAAATACTGAAATGGGAGTTATTTTTCTCCTTCTCTTATTGTAATCTAATTCAACAAGAAACCCTTAATTAAATATTGTTTTAGTTGAAAATAAATTTTGCTTATTTTGTATCATTAAAAAGAAAAAATAAAATTTTAAGTAATTATTTAAATAAGGCTATTTGTTGTTTTTTCTATAAATATCACTCTCAAGATTATAAAGAGCTTGAAAATGAGTAATCACTATTTTGGGGCGGAAGCCTCAAGTTCAGATTTTCTCTCTATTGTAATGTAATTTAAAAAATAAGAAAAAATCATAAATTACTTAGTTTTGTGTGAGCTGTGGGTGGGTTTCTCGCTCTCGGTGTTCCTTTTGATTCTCGACAAGTGTCTGTATTTTCGGTAGGCCTCTTTTTATTATTACTTCCTTTTTGTATGCTTTGATTAAATCTTCCGCTTTTTTTAAGATGAGAGAAAGATTGAGAAATATAAGAGAAAATGACACTAAAATTATTCTAAATAGGGTATAAATGGTATTTTTATGAATATAATAGTTTTAATGCGTTGTGATCTTTTACCTTCAATATTAAATAAAGTAATCTTTGCATTCTAGGCTATATTTTAAGATAAGGCAAAATCAATGCGAAATTTTTGTGCACAAGAAAAAATTGTTACTTAAAACCTAGCACAGACTCTTCGAATTTTATTTTTATTTTAAAGAAATTTCTATACAAGCTCTTTATAATTTTATTGCTTGACTCATTCACAAATTATTAAAGTTCTATATTGACTCGTAAAAAAATGATTCCACCAAAACTTCTTTCAGTGCAGACATTTGATAAGAAACAGGTGGATCTTATGGCTTTATGGTGATTGATTAGACTTGATTAGACTTAAACTTGAATGAGAAATACCAGCTCTGTGATGGTGCATGTTTCAATCCTGAAATCTTACTCAACGTATGACTGACTTGTTAGTCAGATTACCAACTAGAGTAGCTTTTGTTTTCACAGTTCTTTGAGTTAATTTGCACAAGCCTACATTGCAATGTGGAATGTATGTATGTACATTCCTTATACATAGCAAAGATAATGAGTAAGCGATTCTATCAGAATCGAAAACAATGCCCATCACTGTTTTGGTTATGGTTTCGATTACGTTTCTCCATTCTCCGTTCTTCTGAACAAAGAATGGCCTGATAAGACGCTCAAAAAACAACTGAAAAATTTTCGCAAGGCGGGGCTGGGGGCTATGGGGGCTGGAAACCAAGTAAAAACACAAATCAACTGCAGTAGTATGCTTTCCATTTCGTTTTCTCAATTTCCATTCCTTTTTCAGCCAAAACACAATCACACACACACACTGAGGCGCCATATGGCAAAATGCAAATAATGCAAAAAGGGGCAGGTTGTGGGCGTAGAGGTGGGTGGTGAGTACGGTGGTGCGGTGGTTTGGTGGTGGTGCAGCAGATAGAATTATCCGCAGTGCGCCGGCACCGAGGATATTTAAAGTAAAGAAATCGGTTTATTACATTCACTTTGCGCCACGAATTGCTTGAAATGCAATTCCGACTTTGATTCCGTGTCGGATCCGGAATTTCGATTTGGAAGCTCATTTTTTTGCGGCTCCCGAAAAAGAGGGAAGTGCATTATACGGGAATTAATGTCTGTATAACTTTGGGATTTCAATATAACATTCAGAAGTTAAACTTTCTTGTAGCATACATTTAGGAGCAAAGTATTCTTAAAAAGCAAAAGTTTCCTTTATTAGTTTTTTAATATTTGTTTTTTCTCGTTAATTACTTCATGTGCATTTGATAAATAGCTGAACGTATATATATTTTTTTTAGGTAATATACTTGTCTAAAATAAAAACATTCCACTTTTTTCTGAACTCCCAGTAAGGGCTTTCGAAAGTCAACTTCCCAAGAAATGACCCCACTCGCACTGATGTTTTCACTTGATTTACATATGAATCCGCATAAAGCACGTCGGTCCGAAACTGCAAAGAAATGTGGGCCAAGCCCCAGGTCCACCCTCTTAGCCCATCACACCCACACCCACACCCACACCGACACACACACAAGCCTTAACCCATCTGTAGACACAGCTGACGTTTAAAAACTTGACACAACGCTGCATGCGACGCGAGGAGGTAGGAGGCGGTGAAGTGGAAAAGGGCGGTGGGAAAAATAAAAATGGGAAATGAAAAGAAATGTAGGCGGATGTAGGATATACACCTGGAAAAATAAATATTTATGTGTCTATATAAAATATTTTATTTTCAAATCATTTAAAGTGCGTATTTTTTTTTCTAAACTTTAAACTTTGTAACAAGTCTTCTTTATTTTAACCCCTATTCTGGCTGTTTTGGCCGGATGTATCGAATTAATTATTTAAAACATATTTTCTAGTGCATTTTTTGTGTCTCCACTGGCACCGCCTCTGGTTGCATATCATATGAGTTAACCCACCAGACACACCACCACCTCCAGCTCTGCCACCCCTCCCTACCCTCCTTTGTAAGCCGCTGTGTCTGCCCAGAATTTCTTGCATAAATAGCAGCATGTGCATGGGATCCCTCTTTCCTTCTGTCTCTTTTGGGAAAAAAAATGGTATATAAAATAAAAAAAGATTTTTGCCCTCGCTGCATTTAAAAGTAAAACGCAACTTCCGTTTCCCGTCCACGCCCACGCCCACAGCCGCCCCCAATCGAATGTTAATGCTATATGAACAATTTTCGTTTTCCTGCGGTTAGCCATTGTAAAAAAATTCGGAGCTCTGGTTCTGGCCGTGTCATTTTTTGGTCACTGCACACAGTACAGTACAAGCGTTTTCCGGCTCAGCAGCATTAAATTCCGTTAATTACGTAACGCCCTTTAAATTGGGAGGGTATTTATGGGGGTATTCATGGGAGTTTTCCCGGGAGGTAGTGGTGGTGGTGGTGGGGGCTAAGTAAGTGTCTCTATCTTCTGCTGTTGACAGTTCCTGCCCGAATTTTCCTTAGTTCATTTGCATTTGTTTGTTTTTGTTTTTTGTTTTCAAATTTTTTTTATTTATATTTTAATTCAACCAATAACTTTTTGTTTTAAGAGTTTTTTTAAGTGGTTTCTAAACTTTAAAAATTTGCTCATGTCGTGGCTAAATTGCTTGATTAATTGTTAAAGTTGGAAATATGTTTTTGACACATATTGTGGAAGGCTTTGAGGTTTGTTGGAAATAGCTTTTAAAGTTTTAAATTCAGGTTCGCAATCCAGGCCAGTTAAAATATATTTTAAGCCATATTCCAACAGAGTCGCTGACTCAGAATCTCAGACATGCACTTTTAATTGCCCAGATACTTTTTGACCATGTCTGTTGTATTTTTTTGGCACTGCCCTTTTGCGGTTTTTGCATTTTATATACGAAAGCCATTTTCTGTCAGTCAGGGCTTGCAGTTATCTTAATTATTTGCATGAGACCGTCATGCATTCGTTTGTTAACAGCCAGGAAATCCATTGAATGCCATAACTATAAGCAAATGACCAAAAAGTGTAAAGTCCTGCGCTGCCCTGCGAGCTGTCAATTCTTCAGCGATTTCAGTATTTTTTTCGTGTTCATGTGCCATCAACAAAAACAGCTACAAAAGATGCAAAAAGAATTGGCAGTCGGGGGTGCAATCTGCAGTCCTGATGCTGACAGTTATGATATGGCAGGACACGGGGGCGACACAAAAGGATTGCGGGAGAAAAAAATTGAAATTGCATTGCATTGCAATTAATCAAATGGTGAAACAGATAGCTTAATTTGTTTACGTTGGCCATGGCGATGGGTGGGCTCCCTTCCGACTGGAGTCACTGGCCGGCTGGTTGGTGGTGTCATTAGCATCCTGATTACCTCTACATTTTTAATGTGCTTTCATTTGTTTGCCCACATGTGCCAATTGTCCTCGGGTGTCCTTCACATGGCCATAATGGGCGCGATTAAAAACAAATTAATTTTAAATTAATTATTCGACAAATAAACAAGAAATGCCGACCGATAAGTTTTTTGTTAACCACAATATCAACACTGGTTTTCATTTCAAAAATTTCATCAAAATTAAATCAATAAATCAATACGTCCTTCTTATTAAGAATTTTTAGGGCATTGGATAGGCAAACTTCATTTGAATTTTGTGCGAAAATAAAATATTGAATTAAACGGAATTCGCATCCGTACCAACAGCTAATAGTTTTTGGTTTGGGGCTCTATTGGCGCACGCGGCGTATGCGTAATATTTAGTGCACTTAAAGAGCATTCATTTGCATAATGAACGAATGATACAAAATTCGTACACAAATGGCCATAAACAAAAATAAAAATGTTTGCCAACCATCCTGGTTTTTGGGCATTTCTATCCAAAGAGTTGTTTAAATAATGTGCATTGCCAATGCGGCGTATACGTAATATCCGAAATACCAAATAAGCTAAAATGAATTGTACTATGGATTTAGTGAGTAAGTAAATAGGTGCATGTTTAATGTTTATTTTTTACTGTGGTGAAACACTATTTATACCCACGAGACAATTAAAATAGTTTTTTTCAATATTCGTTTTTGAGGGTAAAGATGAAAGATCACATTTTTGCTTCTAAATAGTTGTAATCATTTTTGGCGTTTGTCTAGACAGATAGAACCCAGAGAGATGGCCAGACTCGGTGACATACATATGCAGATTTTTTTGTGCATCCCTGCCTCTCCAAGAGCCCCTTAACTTGCCACAACCAGATGCCCCCAGGAGGGAGTCGCTGGTGAAACGACATTCCATATAAATCACATAAATATTCACATTTATTTTCATTTTCAACGCGTTTGGCTCCTATTTTTGTTTCATTTCGTTTTCGTGTTACTGAAAGGTTCCCCGGATTTACATATTCATTTTGCTCTACATTTCGTTCTTTTAGATTTTTATCTCTATTTTTTTTATTTTATTTTTTTTTTTTTGGAAAACGAGGGGTGGCACTTAAAAAGTCGTTACAAGGTGCAAAAGTTTTCTATGTCAAAATACAGAACCGGCAGAGACAATGACACTGAAGCGAGCAAAGGGAAAAATGGAAATGGCTGCATATGTCAATGGATTTTCCCCCTTTTTTTTTGCACATAAAGATAAATGGAAAGTGTGCTGAAAAAGTGCAGGTACAACGATTTTCGACCCATTTAGGCATTCAGAGCCAAAGAAGTATTTCTGTCATCAATTTGCCAAAAGAAACCGAAAAAACGAGCTACACAAAAATTCCATTTTAATTGCCCCAAAAAGTCTAACATCAATAAAGGAAAGTTCCCAGTCAAAGTTTTTGGTTTTTCTCAATAGTTTCGGTTTCACATTGAGCCCAAAATGTGGAGGAGAAACTTTTCAAGGGATAGAGGAGGAATACTTATATTGAGCTATTCTGACAAAGATTTAACTCAAATCAGCACACACACAAACCTTTGCCATCAGTCTTAGAGGACCTCCGGCTCATAAATTTGTTATGCGAGGCATTTACTTATTACACCTATCGGCGAACTATACAAAATTGACAGCTTAATGATTTGTTCATAACTCTGCCAATGGGCCTTTAATTAATGCAAAACTTTGGCCTACATTGAGGCTATAAATGGTAATTAGAAAAGTTATGTGCCCGTGTGTGTTTTGCTAAGGTCTCGAGGATTAAATGAAGCCACAAAGTTTGCTGGACAAATGATACGGTGGATGGATTTTGATTGGATTACTGCAACCGGAAAATAAGTTTGCTTTTTTGGTAACTAGATAAGGTAGGGTACTAAATATATAATAAAGAAAGTATTTTGAGATATATTTGTTACTTTTATTGACAGCTTCCTAATAATAATCAGACATATTTTAGACATTTTATTGATAGATTATTTTGACTATTTGGTTTCACTTAATATTCAATATTGGAACATTGAATGGCCGAAGATGGACTACGATTTTCATTAATTTAATGTGCCAAGAAATGCTCAATTGCTTACAGAATATGTCTTGGCAAATGTTTATTTAAACATATATGGGTTTGTGGTGAGAAATTACTTTTCAGAAAATTATCATGCACATTGGCTGATGATGCCACATGCCACTCACACAGCAACAGCAACACCAATCTTATGGGGGAAATTCAATTTGATGTTGCATGCTGCTGATGCTGCTGTTGCTGTTGTTGATGTCACTCGCCCGACTCATTAAGTATTAATTGTAAATTTTAATTAAAATAAACCGGAACGATTACGGACACAACAGAGAGAAAATCGGAGAAGGACAGAGATGGCGAAGAGGAGAGCAGATTGAGTGAACAAACTTTCTGCTGGTGATGGCCAGGTAATAATGTTTACCGTTTTCATACCAACCCACTTGGACTACCCACTTTTCCCATCATGCACATTATCCTTATACATATATATGTATTAAAAATCCCATTAATTGCCCAGCAAAAGACGTGCTCGGTAAAGTAAAAATAATCATAAATAATGAAAGATTGCAACTGCAACTGAAACGGCCACTTGCAATGACATATATATATACGTATATCTTGCCATTCGGGCTGTCTTTAATCAGTTGGTTAACTTATGGGCCAAATGCTGGGTTAAGGCTGAAAAATATTGAGCCTTAAGTGATTGTTGTGGATGACCGATTAATTCACATTCATATGTGCAATGATTCAAACAGAACTGGGTAAAATGCTACTGAAGTTGATTGTTTTAATTACTTAATTAAATTAATTAAAAGTAAAAATTATTAATCTATTTTATTAATTTGAATACTAATCTATTACATTAAGCATTGCCATACTTACTTCATGCCTTATTGGCCTTAAATTAACAGCTTTTATCCTTACTTTTCTCATAACTTTGTTACTTACTTAGACTTCTATACTCTTCAGAATAAACAGGAGTAAGAATGCTTTTTTTTATAAAATAAAATAGTTATTACCATAAAAAATAAAATAACAATTAAAAGTAACATAAACATAATTATTTAAAAAGGGATAGGTAATAAAGTTTTCGGTACTTGGAAAATATTGTACCTTGAAAAACAATTCCTATCAGTTTGGCGATGAAAGGTTATCGCCTTATGGTCGAAACTGAAAAATTGCCTATAAATCGTTTTGTTAATAATGAGCCGCCGTGAATGTGGGCGTGGCATTGACACAATGGATTGCCCGAAGCCCACACAGACCTATAATATTATGTACTTACGTATATTCGAAGGCCGGACAAACACGAACGGAATGAATTGTGTTTGTTGGTGTGCCATAATTTGCAATATTTTTTCTTTCAACATTGTCACGTCTGCGGGCTGATTTCCACTGACCCGTAACAATTTTCGATTCATACATATACACAAAAAATATATATTTTTTGAAACAAAAAAAATTGCATACGCAGGAACAAAAAGTTAAATAAAATACAATAAGTTATTACGGACGATTGCGTTAATGATCATTTATAGCTGAGAGAATTTGTGGGCTTATGTAAATGGCTCCTGAATCCTGCAACGTTCGTCCTTTTATCAGGACGTTGGTCGAGGACATTGTATGCGAAGGGGGAAGGAGATTTATGCTTAAGTGATGTAAATGTTTCGCCATTTGACAGTTTATTGACTGTTATGAGTTAGTTTATTATGTCTTTTTTTTTATTGCTCCTAAAGGGGGTTAAGGTTGCTGTAAGGATGCGAAGTATCCTTGTAATTGGGCGCGTGCTCGGCATTAGCAATGAGCGTCCAGTGGGGTTCCCCCTTCTTTGTTTTTGCGCCTCTGGTCTTGACGGGATGTTTATGGCCTGAAAGCAATACGAGATTTGTCCTAATGAATATGATAAACATTTCTAGGGATAATGGTGGCTAAAGGAGGTCGCAAGATAAGCATCAAGGGACACCTTACTACAAATTTTATAGCTTGATGCAGAAAGGTTTTTGGGAATTAATGGCGTGGAGAATAGTGTTGGTTTGAAATTTATTATAATTCAAATAAATTCTATTTATTTGAAAGAGTTTTAAAAGAGTCGGTTTGGTTGAACTAATAAGAAAGAAGTCTGAAAACAATTTTCTATACTTAGTTATGCCAAATATAGATATGTTTACTTACCTTTCGTTTCCTTTGATAAACAATTAAAAGTCATTTTTGCACACATTCAGTTGAATTTATTTTCCATATTACTCATACGCCCTGCTTACCAGCTAAACATTTCATTTCATTGGGAATTCGTTTCACTATCGCTTTTCTTTTTTCTTTATTTTTTTTTTACTTTCTCATATTACTTCAATTAAGCTAATTCAATCCGTTTTCTTTTATTGATTTGCTTTGCCTTCAGTTAAGTTTATAATCAATAATTTGGACTTTTTTGTGTGGTTGTAAAATTCATCAAAGTTTTGGAGTTACTTGTATATCGTTTTATTTTTTTTATATTTTTTTTTTATTTTTTTTATTTTTTTGTAGCTTGAACAACATTTATGTAGAGTTGGGCATTTCATATTTAACTATAAGGTAGAGTTGACAATGCATATGTATTGTATGTATCGTAAGGATTCCACTCACCTTAAAAATCGTTTACTCATTCTTTTCTCCATTTTGGTTTTTGTTTTAAAAAACGTACAAAAAATGCTTTTTATGGATTACTTAGGATTGGCAGCAAAAATTGGCGATAGCACAATGAACAAATTATTTATACACATATATGTGTATGTTTCAGCGAAAAGCGTTTCCATTTCAATAATAGATTTTGGGTTTAGGTTTTAGTGAATTGCACACACAAGGTTCTATCACAGAAGATATACAAAACTAGAAAACTCAGCAGCAACAGTAACGAGTTTGGAATGGGATGGGGTATTAATTTTTGGTGTTTGATTTTTCATGAACTCTATGTCCGAATGAAAGCAACAATTAGCGCGTATAGGGGATATAGCGACGGATTCCATATGCTGCATCCTGCGGCTGTGGCAAAGGTCTTCACGCCACTCCAGTCACTCAGACCGGCCAGATTAATGCTGGCAGCACGCATCAAGTATGAGGTGTTGGCCTTTAAATGCGGGATGATGAAATGTTGGCCTAAAAAATTTAAATTCATATTTTCATATAGATTTTAAATTTAAATATTACATTTTTACAAATATAAATAATATAAAAACTCACCCCTATGGAAGGAGAAGTCGCGAAATTTGGCATGACTCCAGTTCCCGGCATTGAACTTGAACTCCTTATCGCTCATAAAGGCCACCCTGTAGCCATAGACTTGCATCTCATACGATACATTGGTCATCCGGGGTGCTTTCAGATCCAGCTCTATGGCGTCCGGTTGGCTTCGCTTCAACAGGAAGCTGGTGGGGCTCCAGGGCTTCGGACCAGGTCGCAGCTTGATCACCCTTTCCAGCATGCCCAGCGGATTGGCCACCTTGCACTTGTAGTCCCCGAACTGGCTGCTGTTCCGGATCTCGAGCTGAAGCGTAGCCCCGTAGTCGGCTACAAAGATGCGATGGTTGAAGCCGACGATGCCCTTGCCGTTGTGCAGCCAGGTGAAGGATGGTGGGGGCTCTCCCATCGCGTCGCAGCTGAGGTTAACGGCCCCGCCCACATACGCGTACTGGACTGGTAGTGTCTCGTTAAAGAACCAATGGGGTTTGTCTGGAAATTAAAACAAAAAATAAACTCTTCAGCAATGAAATTTATTATGTAACCAGTCTTATAGAAAATATTTTGAGAATGTATTTCAAGAGTATTTCAACTTCGACTTCGCTTTCCTTCAGGTTTAATTTAATATTATCACAGTATATTGCATTTAAATAGTTTATTTGTATTATTGAATAACAACAATTTTCTTCGCACTCTCTTAAATGCCACTAAATGTGGCAGAAGCAATTAAGTTTTAATCGTCCTTCCTTTGGCAAATGTGCTCTCTCCACTGTATCAAATGAGATGCCTGGACATCCCTAAGGGACACAATCTTCTCGCCACTATCCTTCTCATTTCATCATTTCTCCATTCTTTAGCCTCAGCTAATAGCGCATTTTAGCATTTCGTTGTTGTCCTTGGATCCTTGGCTCCTTGGGTCTCAGTGTCCCAGTGTCCTTGTCGCCATCGTCACCGCTGCGGCTCATTGAAGTTTATTGCTGGGGAAATGCAAACCTATATATTGCAGCATTTGGAGCATTTCATCTGTTGGTTCTGTTACAGTTTCAGTTTCTGAGTTTCGACCATGGTCCTGGGTCCTTGGTTCTTCCCTTTGGATTTCTGCTGGTATTTCTGCTTGTGTTGCTTCCGTTGCTTTAGCTGCTGGGCAGCAAATTAGTTTCGGTTTCCCCATTCGCCTGCTGTTTGCCTTTCAGAACCAGCTGCCCAACGGATTGGTCCGCTTGGTTACATCTTCACTTAGAGAAAATATTAGGGTATTTCCAGTGTCTTATTTAGGATATTTGTTTCATCAAATACTACCATTTATCATTAGAATGTTGTTAAGAACAAGGAAAGTCTGGTTTTGGTCCTTATATAATTTGTATAGTGTCATATTCTTTTTTTAGTTTTATTTTTACAGTGCACTATAGCTTCTGGCTTGTGCAAACCTTCGCCCGTTAGTCATTAGTAAAATTTTGACGGCAACTCAATTCTGTTTGCCTCAGTTCGTAGGTCCAATGGAGTTCTATTTGGCTTTCCTGGTGTCGGTTTGTTTATCCTGCCATATGTTTCGATATTGATGGTAGGTCAGGGCAGGGCAGGATTCTTTCCACTTGCCCCATCCCGAAAAAGAGTCAACTTAACAAATGAGTCTCCTGCGAAAAAACCCAGAAGTTATTATGTGCCAATAAACAAGGTTATTCTGTGTTTTATTAGAAGCACGTGGGATTTTTCCGTTTTTGTTTCTAGCCAAACAGCCAACAAGCTAGCAATTTCGTAGATTAGCATTTTCGCATCAGATCCCCAGACAAATGGAGACACACCATCAATGACTCCATTTCCCCCAAAAGTAGCAACTTTGGGTAATATGTTCATTAGGAAATTTGCATCAATAATTTGCATTTGCCAGCCACTTGACCCTGACATCCGCAAGGAATTCCCTGCTTTGAGCAACTTCAATCGGGATCCTGGAAATCTCATTAAAGGCAACGAAGCATGCTGACTCCCCAAGGACGAAGGGGTGGGTTCTCGAGGAATCTAAATAACTTTAAGCTGCTATCAGCAAAAGACTTTGTTGCAAAGTCCGAGCTCAATTTTCAGCTATCAAGAAAAAAACAGAATCGAGGGTAAATCTAAGAGGGAACCGAACCCAAAATGCAATTGCCAACAAGTGTGTGTTGTTGGGGGGGCGAAAAATAAATTCTAGATTAAATATTATCAAGTGGGGCACGTAGCGGGAATGCATGTCCTGCTCAACTCAGAGTGTCATGCAATTCGAGAGCTCAACACCAATAATAACAACAAACACAACAAGTAGCAGTGTAGGGACATTGGCCATTGGCCATTGGCTGCTTTGTACTTACGTTGTATCCTTAGCAATATCGTTATTTGATCGGAATCCGAAAAAGTCGGAGTTATACGCATCGCCCGACACGTGTACTCCCCGGCATCCGCCTGGCTCACATTCCTGATATAGAGACCGTTCGACAGGCGATTGTGCTTCGATGAGTTCACAGCTGCAAACAAAGAAAAAAAGGATGTCAGGGTGGAGGATGCAGGATGCGAATGAGTGCGGGACGGGCCAAATAGTTGAGTGGTTAACAAGTTTGTCCCAATCTTAAAATATGCACTAAGAAAATCATAATAAACTTTATTTAAATAATTAAAACAATAATAATTAAATGTAAATTATTTTCTTCAGTTGTTTAACGATTTAAAGGTAAGTATATGGGTCTGAGAATATACTCACTGTTTATATATTCGCCATTGTAGAGCCAGGACACTTCCGGTGTGGGCATTCCCTCCACAAAGCAATTGACCATCGCATCGCGTCCCTCGCGCACCGACTGCACTTGCTCCGTCTTCCCAAATGAGATTTTCTCTAGGATGTTCAAATGAAATAAGGATAAAGGGGGTGGCGACATTGTTCAAGTTCCCAGTGCAAATATGCAGGCATGATATACCCATTTCCCCTCTCCTTTATATACTATATGTATGTCCTGGGTACATGTCCTGTTAGTCAGGTTCTTTGCTGATTCTGTTTACTTGGTCTCTCTTTGATTGGTTAGTTGACAAATGGTGTGTTAGTTCATCGAGTTGCTTTAAAAGTGGCTTGCTGTGGCAGGCACTCGTTCTGATTTGTAAATACATTAAATGATTTGTCAGCTCACTTCAAACGGAAATCATTTGGCAACTTTGTGGTGAAATCCGAAGCTTTAAAGAAACCCTCTACCAACTCTTATTGAAGAAATTTCAAACTACTACTAACTAACTAGACGTACTTTTAAAAATTCTCTTTGAACTTTTGTTTGGTTACCTAACCATCTCGTTGGGTACTTAGCTGCCAAGTAAACAGATCCTTCCATTGTTTTTACGACCCCATTTCCTTTATATCCTTTTTTGTTCCCTTAGTTCTTAGAGCTGGAAGTCAACTTACGATTTACGAGGAGCTCGAAGGAGGCCAAAAATTCACGTTCAACATTCACATTCCGATTGCCATTACCATTCCCATTCACCTCGCAGGTCCAGTTGCCCCTGTCGTCCAGGGAGATGTGCTCGAAAACTAGAGCCAAGAGTCCTTGTGATTTGAATATGTACAGAGAAAAAAATAGTTTTATGTTTGAGAATAGAGCATAAAAGGCTTCTTTTAGAGCATAAAAATATGTCGACAAAAATATTATTTACTACAACGATTGACACTTTTAATTTCTTTAAATTATCCTAAAATGTCTTAGAGTTTTTAGCAGTGATCCTTTAGATATATCCCTTTTCGGCTCACTTACCCATTGTCTTCTTCTCGATATGGACTCGTCCTTTGGTATTCTCGCGGGTCTGTCCGCGAGGATCACGCCACTTGGTGTCGATATCCTTTTGTACTGTCTGGCAGAAGATGATGAAGGAGTCATTTACAAAATGCGTTATTGATGGCGTCGATGGCTGCAGGCGGAGCGTGGGGGCGGGTGGCTTGGCGGGGGGCGGACTGCCACTCCCCCTGATGCTGTTGTCCAGCTGTCCAAGGATTGCAGCTGCAAAAACCAGAAAGGGCTTTTTTCATTAAATTTATCACTTTTCAAGAGGGTTTGAGGTCAGCTGGTGGTCGGCGGGCTTCTCATAAAAAAATCATCATAATTTATATAGACAGCTCGACTTTTTCCCGGGTTGGGTTTCCTCATTGTTTTTGGGCTATGATTTAATTAGCTTCCACCCAGCCAGTGCAGAATAAATCCCTCTACAGCTTTCTATATTTCTTTTAAAATATTCAAGGCATTTGATTAAGCCGTACCCTTTGAAAAGTTCCCTTTCGTTATTGCAATTTTTTCTTTTTCCGAAGTTTTGTATATTTGATTTGGAAACAAGACAAACTTTTCAGCAAAATATCTTATCTTATCTTTAGTTTTGGTTTTTAGTCTTAAATTAATTAATTAAAACTTGTAACACATCGTATTTCAATTACATTTAGAGCAGAGTTTTCCAATGATTTCATCAGCATTTCTATTGACGTCCCAAAAGCCGCGAATTCCCCAACATGCGAGCCTATATTTTATTATCCTTTTGCTTTGCCCAGGACAATGACCCTCCTCCTCCCCTACCGCAATCCTTTTTTCTGGCCAAAATTTCAGTCAAACAATTCGAGAGCTTTTGCACAAACAAACCGGCAAATAAATATCGAAAACTATTTTGAAAAGGGATAAGAACGTATTTTATTTGTTGACTCTTATTTATATTACTTTTTTGATAGAGTGTTGTCGACAGAAGCCTAAAATAATTATTGGTAATTGAATCTATTCAGAGTACTAACGCAATTCGTCTATAATCAAATTGGCACACAGCCGGCAATTCGGCAAAAATTTAATTGATTTTTAAATTAAAATGCCTAGTTGCATTTAAGAAATAATACAAACAGTATGCCAATATATTTCAAAATAAATCAAAAGACTATAATAAATGGGCTAAATGATATAGAGAACTTGATAATATGAAATATATTTATTATATTCAGTATATTTAATTTAATCAGTTAAGGAACGTACTTAAAGTGGCTTAAGAGCCAACTTAAACCAATTGATTTTCGGGCTGTCATCTAATAAAAATTTAGGCTTTTGCCTTTGAAATCCATAAACTTGGTCCAAAATATCTTGGCGAGATATCTCCGCCCAGGCCAGCAAGCCAACAAATCCATCAAATTGAATTTAATAATATTTTATTTGATGGGCGGTAGGCGGCAAATAAATTCAATAAAAATTCAAATTCGTCTTTTCGACTTTGAAAGCAATATACAAACAGACACACGCACGAAGATATATACCATAAAGTGAGGAATTGAGGTACAATTTTCTGCAATTGGATTGTTAAGGTTTTTTTCGACTCTTTTGTGCGATGTGCATATCAATCAAGCAGGATATGATGAGGGGTGGAGCTGGGAAGGATCTATGGAAACGGGGTAAGTGAATTCGTAGAGGTAATATAATTTCAATATAGAAACTGAACTTGTTATGCCAAAGTTGCATGCTTACTTTGTATAAAGTTTCATTGATTTCGTTTACTGTTTCTAGCGAAATGGAAAAATAAAATTAGAAAAAATTTACAAAAGAAACTATTTTTTAAAATTGAACAAATTACGATGATGAGATTCTATCAAAGGTAACCTACTCATAGAACATATTCTTTCTAGAATGTTTAAAAGGCTGTCAAGTGCCATGATTTGGGCACTTTCCTTTCCTTCTACTTTCCTTGTTTGAATGGGTACATGTGTGTGTGTTAGCCCAACCAAGGCACTTCACCTTTTATACTTTGGCCATAATGAATTCCTTCTCATGTATCCCATGAAACGTTTCATCTTCGAGGGCCACATGGCCATGGGCTAATTTGGGTGAAGGTTCCTCTGACACTTATTCACAAAGCCCTTACGCATGGCTTGCTCAGTATCACTCATAAGTGGCCCAGCCCGGCAAACACATTTCCCATTGCATACTTTCGGGCTGTCGGCGCAATGGGCGTATGTGTAATATTTCCATGCCACATTGCGTAACCGCATAAAATACAAAAAAATACGAAAATCTTTTTCATTTATTCTATCTTTTCTGATGTGCATTTTTTTGGCCAGAGACAAGTGAAGATTGCTGGTAAAAAAACACGAAAAAAATACAAATATTTTGGCCCAAAAGAAACTGTTTTGCTTTCAGACGCAGCCTTACGCTACATTTGAAAGCAGATTTGTGGGAAATACTTCTCCTGCTTGGTTAAGCACAAAAAACTAAAAATTCAGGAGAGAAAATTAAGGCCATTCTGAGATTTCTTTTTACAAAAAAAACCCAAACAAACAAATAAATAAATAAATGGTAATAAAAAAGTGTATACTACAAATACCAATTAAATATATTTGATTTCATTTATCGCATGTAGTACAAGAATAAAAAAAAAGCACCGCTTGTCACATGAATTAATTAAATTAATTAAAATGGCAAATATTGACAAGGTTGTTTTTCATTACTTTGAACTTCAAAGTTCATTTAATTAAAAAACCAATTTAACTACAATAACATCTTGCCAAGTGTTATAATGTAAGTTTTTTAATAATTTAAACCATTTAAGACATGTCTAAGTCATTGAGGAACTCCAAGGAACACTTAGAGCTCCATAGGAAGAAAATCCCTGAACAAAGGAAAGCCAAAAGTTGTGCCAAAACAAATGAGCTCATTTGGCATTCAGCTATGAATTTCATTATTTTAAAAACAAAGCCAAGGAAACAATGTGGAATGTGAAGACAAATATAATTGTCTGTCTGAGAGGCAAAAGTTTACTCCAAAGAGTTTCCACTGTAAGTCTTTTGGCTGTTTCGATTCTTGACTTTGGGATTATCCTACCATTTTGTATGAGAAGCAGGAATAGCAGAGAACAGAGCGCAGCCAGAGTATCCATGGCTCAGCGGGTATATCCTTTATTTGGCTATAATCCTTAATGGTTAATTTCACCGAATCTCGACAGAGTTTTGAGTTTGTCTCGCTTTCACTTTTTGGTGTTGAACTTTTGCAGTTAATTACCGGGCTCTTCACTTGAGGGATAATGGCACATGACTGAGCCGCTCATGTGTCGCCCGTGGCCGGAAATATGGCAACAACAACACTTTCACTCTGGCCAGGACAATGGCATGACATCATCAGGCTCATGGCCACAAATTCTTGTTGTGCCTCTTCCTTTATTTTTGGATATTTTGTTTTGTGGTTCTTGGCCTGGCTTTTTATCTATTTTTTTCTTTTTTTTTAGGCACTATCTCTGAAGGAAACACTTAGAGGTATGGGCAGAGGAGCACGGCGCCCGCGTAGGTCGACATATCCGGCAAACATATCCTGCCAGTAGCACGTCCTTTTCACATTTCACGACTTTCAATTCTCGCGCTTCACTTGGGCGACAAGGCTGCGAGCCCCGCTCTGGGAAATCCCCTGATCCATTGCAGGCGAGTGCCGAGATTCGACTGAAAGTGCACCACAGAAAGGACACTCGGCATCCACGGCGGATGCTAGACGAAGTCACAGTTTGGTTCCGTCCGAAGTCACGAATGGAACTTTACGAAAATATTGAAAGGGTCGAGTGATTTCTGTTGCCGCGCTCACGTTCGAACCGTTGCAAAACCAGAAAGTACACTGAAGTCATCGCTCGTCCTATGGCATCCTTTTTCCCATGTCGGCAATGCCAGGAAGTCGGGCCGAGAAAGGGAAACTTCTTCTGCCACCAAACTTCGCAATGTTGACACACTTTTCGTCGGCAGGCACATGTTGCCTCAAAGGATATTTCTAAACTCGGGCAGTTCGAAATGTTGCCAAGGACTCGTTAGGGGTAGGTCACTTTGGGGTGAAAAGCATTCTATGAGGCTAAGGCAGGGGTAACAGGAGCTTTGTTATGTCAGGATATGGGAAAGTTGTTCAGGATGTACTATAAAATCGTATAACAGTTTATAGTAGAACAAGTTTAAGGATTGAAACGTGCCAAATTATAGAAGGTTTTATTTTATAAAAAATTATATTTTCATTGAATCATCATGATATTTTTATTAGGAAAGTTGTTTTATTAAGTCTCACAATTTCTAATAAGCTCAGAAATTTTAATCGTAGAAAAATAACAGACATTTTGTATAATTTTTGCCCTTTCTGCCTTGAAGCTTGGCTTTTTATAGTAGCTATAAACTATATGAAAGTCTTTTATAAAATCAAGTTTCAGTTTGTTTATAAAGGAATATCATCCATTTTTGTTATAAATTTATGGTATGGAAGTTATGTTAAGAGCTTAAAATAAAGGACCTTTCCTTCTTTTTAAACCATGGTGGAAATGAATATTTTTTATCTAAACCTTTGAAGCTTAATGAATTTTTAATTCTCGAAAAAACAAGTATCATAATTGTGGTTTATAAGTTCGAAATACATTTTTTTGTTTTAAATAATACTCTATTAATATTTTAATTAAAATATAATTTATTATAAGATTCCGCATTTCTGTGAAAAATTTACCATATAATTATTGGTCTAAAAAATAATAAAAATTGATTTACTAACTTTTTAAAATTCATACCTTAAATACCACCTTAAATAAAAAACTCAGAGGTATTTCAATTGCAAATAAAATTGTCAAAAAGCTTTTATTTATAAAGTCAATCCGTATTTCGAATCAGCCGTAGAAGACGTAGGGCGAGGCATAGCCCACGGCCGGATACCCGGCGGAGTAGACGAACTGGGGAACTGGAGCAGGGGCTGGATTCGGGCCGGGAGCTGCCATGGCAATGGCCAGGAGGGCGGCGAGCAAAAGGAATACCTGCGGGCGGACAGAGGTTTTGTATTTGCGGCAACGCCACAGGATCAAAGGCTAGTGTCCTTTGGCTGGCAAACACTCACCAGCTTCAGCATTTTGACGATGAAAAGAAGTTAATTCTCCGACTTGACAAACAGAATTGAACTGCACTCGATGTTTGCTCAATTGCAGCTTTTTATATTCGCTGGAAACAGGCAACAAACATTTTGTTTACAAGGGGTACGCGGGGGGCGTCTAAGCCGCATTATTTGAGTTTTTTTTTAATCTCTGCTGACTGCATCGCTTTTTGCGTTTTGATATTCCATATGCATTCCGTTGGCCAAGTTTATGGCTCATTACGGGCTCTTAACGTGCTCGCCTAATGCCTGCCGAATGTTGCGAGTTGCGAGCACAAAGAACGTTATTGTTTCTTAATCTGCGGTTCTGACGACATCGCCATCATCATCATTATCATTATCATCGGCGGCGGTAAGTATCTCCCTCTTCCGTCTCCCGAAAATCCGCCACTTTCCATACTAACCCCTTCCATCCAGAAATGTGTGTCGTTTGTTTGGTTGACTCTCTTTTTTATGGGTTTTTTTTTTTGGTTATATCTGGCCTGCGGCAAACATTCTGGCCTTATTGTCATTTGGATCGATTTGGGAGTTCTGGAATACATGATTTGGCAAATTTTTATGCCATACACTTGCATTTGAAATACAAGCCAATGGGCTAAGAGGATTGTTTCCCACACAAAAGGTGGTTTGACAAAGACAATGTTTACGTAATGTTTAGATTATTAAAAATGTTGTAAGAATATACTGCGTAATTGGTGAACGTTTTCAAATAAATATAATAACTTTCATTTTCTAAAGTAAAAGAATTTTACTTTCATTTGTCCAAAATATTTTCATAAAATTTTGAACCCCTAACATCAGTTATATTCTTAATTTTCTATTTCAAGGCATTTAAGCCTTGTTTTCTCTTAAAATCTACAAATATAAATTAAAACGCAATATAATTAATCAAAATTGAATTGCAGATATCTTCCAGGATATCTGCGTAATTGATTCAACAAACCTTTGCCATTTGAAACAAAACCCATTCCCGTTCTCATTCAGTAAGCCGGGCTATATCCACAAATCATCAATCACCTGAATGGTAGCCCCACAGTAGCCCCACAAATTCCCAATTAAAATGCAATGAGTGTTGCCCGAATTATTCGTTAGTCTGTCTATGGCTTGGGATCACGTTCAAGGCCAGTCTATATCTAAGTGATTCCATCATCTCAGATCGTCGACGAATAAGAACTCATTAGAATGCCAAAGGAAATTTTTTCGAATTTTGCGAGACTGTGACAAAATACTATTGGCGTAAAAATAGAAAACGAAACTATGGCCGAATGATGTTAGCAAAACAGAAGTGGCCATAAATCCGATCAGAGTCCAGAAGTGCGACATCATAAATAAGTCATGAAGTGAGACAAATTTTTAGCCACCAAGAGGACTATATAAGCCGGAGTCTTCGAGCCAAACAGCATCAAATCACAAACTGCAAACGCTTAAGAAGCATCTCAAAAAATCAAAAATCAAATCAAGCAAAATGTTCAAGCTGGTGAGTCTACCACAAGGATTAATTATCCTTTTAGGATATTAAACAAAAATATATATTTAAACTTTCCATTTCTCTGCCAAGCTGGTTGTTGTTTTTGCCGCCCTCTTCGCTGCTGCCCTGGCCGTTCCCGCTCCAGCCCCACTGCCGCGTGCCAACCCCGCACCCATTCCGATTGCCAGCCCCGAGCCCGCTCCCCAGTTCTACTATGGAGCTAGCCCCTACGCCTACTCCGGCGGATACTACGCCTCCCCCTACTCCTACTACGGCTAATTGTTCTCGACAATGCAAACAAACCGGACTCGTGATGACGAACCAGAAACTGGATTACGGAATATGCGCGCGCTGGCAAATCTAATTAGTCATAAGTGCTTGTAAAAAAACTCACAAAAAAAAAATAGATTAGCGAATAAAATGTTGAAAAGCAACTAAGTATTGATTTTTGATAAGAAGAACTTTCACCTTTCTAGATAACCCAAGAAAAGTAACAGCTTCAACGGTCTAATGGTTGACTTTAGGCGGAAGAGAGACAGTCGGTTCCATGGTGTAATGGTTAGCACTCAGGACTCTGAATCCTGCGATCCGAGTTCAAATCTCGGTGGAACCTGAGATGAACATTTTTTTTATTTTATTTTCTTTTTTATTAAAAATTATTAAATATTTAACTTTTTAAATTTAAAATTTGATAAATGATTAACAAATACTTTACTACTAAGCTTATGGTTACATAATATTTACTTTCGGGTAGACAAGATAAAATTATATTATTACATATTTTTTTAAACTTTTTCACTTCAAATTCCAACAAATGTATATAAAAACATGTTTTATGTATTATAAAAATGGTAAAATCAGCTTTATTTCTCCTAGACTTACTACCTTTATAAGTTTGGACATTTAGCCTCTAAGAGGTTCCATGGTGTAATGGTTAGCACTCAGGACTCTGAATCCTGCGATCCGAGTTCAAATCTCGGTGGAACCTTGGTCAAAGATTTATTTTATATTATTTTATTTTTTTTAGTTTTCTCCACAACAATGCTTGTGTTTTAATAAACAAATGCTTACATCGCATTTACTTTTGTGAAAAAATATATAAATATGAGAACACAAAACAAACAGTGATACAAAAATTGCTTGGTGTCAGAATCTGCTAGAGGTTTGTGTCTCTGCTAAACAGATGTTTTTCTGAGCTATTGTGAACTGATTATAGTATTTTTTGTTGGTATTTTTGTGTGTGGTTTGAGGCTGTCAGTTGCAGCTGAAAAAGAGGAAGACTTCGAGAAGTGCAATTTTGTTTTGTACTGTTGCTGCATTTTGGCACGCTAAAGCTCCTTTTTGAGTAAAAACACAAAAAAAGTATAACTCTGTGAAGTGAAATTGAATAATGCTTAACTTGCCTGCCGTGAGGGGCAATGGATAGTTGTTTTTGTTCGCTGCAGCGCCAAAAACAAGACTTCCAAACCAATTAGAAAGAGTCGGCTGCGCAGATTCGAAGATTATGTTAAAACGCTCGTTGAAGGTGCTAATTGCTCTGGGGCTGAGTTTGATGTTCACGGTATCGCTGGTGAAAATAGTGCTATTGATTTGGTCCTCTTTGCATCCTGCCGCCCCCCACAGCCCCCCGCCCCTGCCCACCGTTGACGAATGGCTGGATTCGGAGCAGTTGTCCTCCTACAAGCAATTGTTCCGCGATAAAGGTGAGTGACTTTCTTAAGATTAATAATGTAATTTAATTTTATGCAGGGCCATTGCATTTGGACTTATCGGGCGTTGAATGCCATTGCTCTGCCTTTGTTTATATTTTTTAATTTGTTGTATTTGCTAGTATTTCTCTCTCCCGCCCACTCTTTAGCTTGGATGTACTCTCACGTGTCTGGTATTTTGTTGGTGGCTTGAGCTTTGGCGAGCTTTTCTTTACAGCTTATTCGCACGTGTTGACTCAACACTGCTGAGATGAAATATTTGTGGATTTCTTTTTCAATAAATAATTAATTTGATGTAGCTTTTTTTTTTAAACAAAATAAAAAATAAAAAAAGTACTCGATCAGGTTCCACCGAGATTTGAACTCGGATCGCAGGATTCAGAGTCCTGAGTGCTAACCATTACACCATGGAACCTCACTGTTCGTGCTCTTCTCTTTACTGATCTAAAATTTTTACTTGGGAATTGTAAGCATATTATAATTTTATTTTTCCGCGGAAGTAATATATATTATGTATATTGATGTATTGTTAAGATTTTATTATAGAAGGTGGTTAAGTAACTGAAATGTATTAAAACTTTAGTGGCTGTTTGTGTTAATATAGTTTAAATAAGTTAATTTTTTAATGAATGATTTTTTATTGAAAGATGAAGATGTAGTATGCGCTGGTTCGGGGGGCGCGAACTAAAACTGCAAACGGCCAATGATGGTAAAATAAAAGATTGGGTAATTTAATAATAATATATTTTAACCATATTATAAATAGATAAAATATAAGCCAACAAAATGTGTATATTACATAAAAATAAAATAAAAATAAATAAAAAGTAAATTTCAAATCAGGTTCCACCGAGATTTGAACTCGGATCGCAGGATTCAGAGTCCTGAGTGCTAACCATTACACCATGGAACCGCTGTGAAAGATCACGCCCAGTGGCAGTTTTCTATTCAAGCTCTTAGACTCTCTCAGACGATCGTAGAAGAGAAAGTTGACTAGATGCTCCCATCTATTTATAGAAATATTTCATGTTTTTTATGATTGGCCAACAGCCAAAATCAAAAACAAGTTGTTGCTAAGGCACATGACAGATAGACTAATCTATGTCTTAAAGGCGGGAAAATTATTTAACCCTTTACGGTCATGGGTATTTCTCATTTGAAATTAAATATTTTTAAAAGCTCAAGCATCTTATAATATCCCATTGAATGTTTCTCTATAAAAAATTAACAAAATAATGATGAAGTATAGGGCTTAGCCAGACCTTTTTGTGCTTTCGGAAATTTCGTAATAATTAAATAAGCTAATTAAGCACATGGTGCCGTGCCGTGCCTAATGATAATGTAATTTTAATAAAGCGCGCCAAACAAAAAACAACCTGCTGGATTTTCCAGGAGTGTGAGTTTGTAGGGCCGGAGCCTTAAAGGATGCAGCAAAAGCTTTTCACATTCCGAAACCGAGTCCTTTGGGTCGTCGTAAACGGTCGACTCCATTCGCCAAGGTGCCGAGCGTTTTCTGTGTCACTCGGGTTCGGTTTTCGGAGTCTGGCTTTCGGTATAAAATCAATCGTAAATGTCCTTAAATGCTCAGTTTTGGTTTTACGTTGAAGCGCGCTGGTTTCACATTTCGAAACGCCTGGGAAGCCGCCGCGTTTTCTTTCCCCCCGTTTTCTTTGGTACAACAGCAAAAACAAATAAAACACCAAAAAATCCAACCGAATCAGGCCTAATAAATTGGGCCAAAAAACGCCACAAAAGTTATGATTTGTTGTGTTCTATCGCGTTTAGTTTTTGCCTCTAATTTTTTGTCATATTTATTTATTTTTTTATTCACGCAAAAGTTGTCAAAACATTTCGTGACACCGAGGACAATAGGACTGAAAAAAGTCGCGTTTTTTTGGGGCAACCATAACCTATTTCGGCCAGCACGTGTTCCTGCCCCACAAACCCCACACAGACTCCACACAGAATCATTTCCACTCAGAGCTAATGATCCATAGCTAATCTCTACTAATACGCGATGGGCCAAAATTAATGCATACAAAAAGCAAATTTCGCGCCGAACAATTTTCCACATTTTGGCATATTAATTTTTTATTGTCGGTGTGTCGGTGTGTCAGGGTGTGTGTGGAGAGCGGGGCGAGCTGTTTTTCCCCCCATTTTGTCTTCACACTTCAGTGCACAGTTATTTGATGGGGACCCCCGTCCTCAGCGGCCAGGATACGCCTCCGGTTGTGTGTTTCGGCTCGTGTGTTCCATTATCCTATCCAAATAAACTGACTGACTCATCTTCTGAGCGCTCACTGTGCGTGTACAGAAGGGAAAAATAAACATATTATTGTGATTATAATTAACTAATGAAAGATTATCGATTTCCGGGGGTTCCCCAAGGATCCATTAATTTTAAAAAAGAATAGTGTCTTAGTTTCCAAAAGTAAATATTTTGTTTAAATGTTATGATTTTTCTATAATTTGTTTTCTCAAATGTTTTTAATGAGGCTTTTGTTCTGTGTGTGTGTCTTTGTGTTGTCCTTCCTTAACTGTCAATGGTTGTCGTTGTTGTTGCGGTTTTCCCTTTTTTATTTTTGGCTTGGACACATCGGCTCGCTCATAAAGAATTAATTGGCAATTAATTTTGATGACACTCGACGGCTCCCCTTCGCACTTGACCATCTCCGTGTCCACTCGAATTCCTGTTGTCGCAACTCCCAATCTCCCAACCTTTTCCCCTCTCGAATTTTCCCCTTCTACACACGCGCTTAACCTTTAAATCCCATTTACTTTTGACCTGCATATTAATTAATGAGTTAACAGCACGAGAGGAAAAGGTTCTTGTGCGGTCAATTATGCATAAAGTGGTATTTGGGGAATGATTATAAGAATCCCGTTTTTACATAAACAGTCTTCAATTTAAAAGTAAAAAAAAAAAAAAATTATTTCTAAGGTTCCACCGAGATTTGAACTCGGATCGCAGGATTCAGAGTCCTGAGTGCTAACCATTACACCATGGAACCGCGCTGATCGATCGCTGCCAGATCGCTTAGTTTCACTTCCGGGGCCTAAAATAGACCTTAAGCAAAGAAATTTAATAGAGCTGAGGTAGGCACACAAATATCTCGTGCAAAAACAATGTGTATGGCAAAAATTTGCATATTTCTGTAAAACCAGAAATGCCAGTTCCATCGAAAAGGGAAATGGCCGAAAGCACAATTGGCCCATAGGACTGGTGATGGGGGGCTGGAAAGCAGTTATAGGGTCGGAAGCATTTAGTTTGTGCGACAAAAAGAGGAAATAATTGTTTGGTAAACATTGACCAATGTCCGTCGGAGGCAGAAAAAGCAAACAAAAATATTTCCATTTCTTCGAAAACCTTTTCTCTTATTTTCCGTTTTATTTTGTTTGTTTGTTTTTCTTTTTTTTCTGCCTGGAAGGAAATTAAAAGGAAATTGCGCTTGTTTCGAGGGGGGGGAGTGGGTTGGTCGGTGTAGGCTTGGACTGGAGTACGCGGCTGAGCAAATTAAAAGGCTTTTATCCCCCAACTGAGAGCCTGCGGAGACTCGCAAGCAGTTAAAAATGACACAAGTGACACACAAACAACAACAGAAACACAAAAACCATGAGCCAGACAAGAACAACAGAAGCTACACATGTGCAAATAATAAGAGGTCTCACTGCGGGCTCCTCCCTCCCATCCTAACTTTCACTCACTTTCTTTCCGCTCCCGCCGCTCTCTCTCTTTATCTCTCTCACTCTGTGCTGTAACAGTTGCAATTGCTTGCGCTATGTAGGCCAAAGATGTCAGAGCGGAAGTCCTTCCCATGCCTTTTGTCATCTCTCTCTCGTACAAATACTATCTACAGTGGTAATTTCCTAAACGAAACTATTATAGATGACAGGGGAAAAGAAGTTAAGACTATGAGGGATAAATTTAGAGGAATTTATAGAGCACTTGACTTCTTATTTAGTCTGGTCTCACTGTACCTATCTATTGTGTCTCGGATGCATCGGTAGCGGCGCTCTTCTGCGGTTAGTTATCATTATTGCCATGGCCCTCGACGACATTTTGTTGTTTACTGCCTACTACTACTGTTGTTCCTGCTCTTTGTTTTTGTCGCATTTGTCAGCCACAATTATAATAATGCAGCAGCCAAGTTTCGTTTCATCTCGCTCTCGCCAGCCCTGGCCGTCTCTTTCCTTGGGAAATTATCATATTGTGGGCTGCTTTTGTTGCGTCCTTGGAGGGGCGGCAAACAAAGCGTATGAGGCGGAACAAAAAAACATTTGCGCATTTCAACGCAAAAGATTATATTCTACTTGCATAACAACAGAGGCATCCACAAAAAACAAGGAGAAACAGTTTAAAACTTAGTTTATGGGGAAAGGATAATGTATCACCCAACTGATATCCTATAATAAGAAAATATTAAATAAATGTAGGAAGATAACTTTTAAGTAAAAAGGATTAACTATAGAGATTAAAAAAAAATATCCTTCTTTAGTATCATGACTTCCCAAAACAACATACCCGAACTGTACCTTAGGTACAACAATTTTTGCCGCAGTCTCTCAATCTTCCTCTCTGGCTTAGTCATTGCCCCATCTGCAACTTTCGTGCCCCAAGAACTGGGCATTAACATAAAGTTCGTATTTCGACCCGGCTTTCCACTAAAGAAATTTGTAGTCATAAAAGTTTCAGTATCATGCCTATATTTTCCCCTACTGGTATCATCGACCTGAAGGACTCCAGAGCTCAAAAAGCCTCCGGACTTGTGACAAGTTATGGTTAGCGTAGGCCTTTTTTTCTTGGCGGCTAGTCTATTTTTTACTTGTGTGTGGGGTTTTTATTATTTTCTTGCTAGGGGGATAGTCGTAAAACAAACAAAATATGGATGGCATGAGCCAACATTTACTTTACACGCAAAACAAAGGGTCAGAGTATTGAGCGGAAATGGAAAATTATAGTTAGATTGGAGAAACACTCGAAAAATTACACTCTT